AGGCGTCACCCCCCCCCCCCTGCCCCATTTCCTATGAGAGGATAAAGCATTTAATTTAATTCAGATCTCCAAATGTCTTCCATAGAAAAATTACACAGGAAATAAAATTATGTAGTCAAAGCTATGCGATTCATGTTTGATTTCTGTAATGCTTTGATTTTTCTATGTGTAAAAACATTTAGCATTCAAAATCTAATCTAATACAGATTAAGATTTAAGTGACTCTATCAATTTTCTATAAGGATATTACATTTATAGATGAATTCTTTTTATTAGATTATAATTACTTGAGACGAACGGTAGCTAGTTTACAAAATGACTCTGCGCCAAAAGGCACTTATCACACGATTAATCTCATTTTTGTTTTATAGAATAATGCAGCAAAGTGAACTTATGACTTGCTAACAAAACAGTTAATGTTCTGTGAAAAAACCTAATCGAAAAAAGAATCTGAATCTTATATAGAAATTAAAGTGCGTCGTTTTTATATGAAAGCTAAAAAGAATTTACAAATAATGAAGCTCGAAATCCTCTAATAGAAAATCTAGAGTTGTCTATTTTTCATTGATTTGAGTATTCGACAAAAAAAAGGGACATGTTGCAAAATTTTTGTTTCATCTATTTAGTATATTTTTTGTCACGGAGAAAACAATAAACGTGTAGATAGCGATGAAAGAGTATAACATTATATCTTCGATTCTGCGTCTGCATTATCTACACATCGCATAATCTATTTGCTTATCATCTTTACTAAAAGGCGCTTCCAGATCTATGTTTGTTCTATTCTCAACAAAATACAAGGTACGGCAATTTTAGCAGGAAACTAAAACATGGTCAAATATATAAACGTAATTCTTTCACAATATTCATAAAAATACCTTTGGCATTAGTTTATTGATAAGAAATGATATTTTCATCTACATGAAATATTTGACTATTGATCAAAAAAACGATTTATTTATTTATTTAAATACTATCTTTTACAAAATGTAATGAAATCCATAATGAATTGTTTATTTGTTACAATGGATGATTCTCTTTCCATCGGATATTATTCTTGATCTCATCTTTCCAATCTAATTATCAAAAATAAGTTTTATGGGTAAATAGACTTTTGATCCCCCAAAAAGTGACTATTAATCACCAAAATATGTTAATTGCGAAATGATCACCAAAAAAAGATACAAATGATCCTCAATCTATTTTATTGTGAAATGATCACAAAAAAAAGATACAAATGATCCCCAATCTTTTCTATTGTGAAATGATCACAAAAAAATATATTCGATCACCGAATTTATTATCAATACAATAAGAGATAGAATAATAAATAACAACATTAGTTACACAAAATACAATAAACAATAGAAACAGAAAATATGTTCTACCAAAATCATGGTATTATTGTTTAATTATGTCTTATCAATCTGTTGTCTTTTGAAATAAACACGTTATCTACCACAACTCTACCATTCATTCCACAAAAGACAAGTTGGGGATCATTTGTATCTTTTTTTGGTGATCATTTCGCAGCTAACACATTTTGAGGATCAAAAATATTGCTACCCAAGTTTTATCGCTTGCATGGTAGGTTAGAAAATGAGACACAACTCGTTATTATAGAACAGTGAAGGCTAGCATTACGAAGTTGCAATGTTTTTTTCCATTAAATACTAATATTTATATCTGCTCAATAATAAATGTTAAAATATTTTAAATTTCCAAATTCTATGCAGGTAGTTTAAATCTACCCAGGAGGATCATCCGGTCATCTGAAAGACCATCGGAAACGGCCTGAAACGGCTATATAACGACATTAATTTTCACCCTATTTCGCCGTAATCCGTCAGCTCGTTTTACGGGCCGTTTTTTTTTGTTAGAAAACGGGCATCGCTTTTAACATTATTCTCTTCGTTTTCCGAACTGACGGAAAACGGCGCCGTTTTTTAACGTTTTACATCGTTTTTATGCCGCTTCAGGCCGTTTAAGTGCCGTTTTTTTTCACCTGGGTAATAAAAATTAATGATAGAGTCGATTTGTATTTAAAAATAGTTTACGGAGTATTAGACCGGTTAATAATATTTATAGCTATATTTAATTTTTAACAATGAACAAAAAACCGAGTAGATATTTGTTATTAAGGTTGTCTTTCTCTATGTATAGATGTATTTTTCATATCGATCTAAGGAAAACAATTTTTTGATTGCTTATTTAATTTGAGAGGCTTTTAGGAGGAAAAACAACACAAAAATCTGTTACAAATGATTTATGACAGTATTTTCTCGGTCGATGAATTTATTATATTCTCTTGTAGATAATATGTTGAAAATATGTTTCTAATTCAACCATGGTTACTTGAAGATGTATTTCCCTGCTGTGTTTTACAGAAACATTCGACTTAGTAACTATGAGATAAAGAGAGATCGCATATGATAGAACACTCAATATTGTCTTCGAGACAAGGACTATTCTCATTTCACATACTATCAATTGCAGTCTTTTGTAGATTACATTCATCTGATTTTCATATTGAGTTTGAATACTCCTTACATGTGAATGATCAATAACTAGTCATTCTGGCAAGTATGTTGATGTGTAAGTTACTTCCGATTCGAGTGAATCAATTACATAAGCATTTTATTTTACAGATTCAGTTTTATTTTAAGTGACCTTCATCCTTTTGAAATCGTCTTGGACGGCAAGTTGATTTACTTATTATTGTAACATATGATTCATCAGCAATTCCTACATTACATAAACTAGTGATTCACAACATTAAAGTAACATATAGCTAATATAATATAAAAACTCTAAAACAAATACTTATATTTCTATCCTGACATATCGCTAATACAAATTGCAGTCAAATAATAACATATCAGAATCTTGCAGAAAATTTATTTTCTATAGATTCATATAAAACAGTTTAAATATTTTCACGCAATAGCATATGTATATTCATAGATTACTTATGATAATATTATGGCATCGAAATAACTCTATGCTCAGTAATATCGTGAAAAGGGTACTATATATGGGTTTATAGAATATATTTTTTGTAAAGAATCTGCTATATTAGTTTATGCTTGATTTCTGATCAATAGGTATCTCATGATAAATATTCAAGTCTTTATTTTTATAGTTTTAGCATAATATTAGTTATGCCACTGTTTTTGAATATTGTGAATCCTTGGTTTCTTTCATACAAAAATTAGCGGGAGATCTTGTGTTACAATGGTAATTGAATCAGTTGTATAGCACATAATTCAAAATTTTATAAAAGGAATACAATCAACTGCTTATTAAAATATAATTATGTCTATTGGTTCACATAAATTATCAAAAAAAAATTGTTTGAGTCGTAAAAGAAAATGTTTTTTTGTGTTAAACAATGAATTCTATTTTCGCTCTAGTCATTACTAATAATTTTAATTCAATGATCTATATTAACAATAACATATAGTCAAAAGAGCAAAAGTAGGACGAATAATATGTACGTGATTGTTGGATAGAATTTTTAAGGTCATATCTTTCAGTGCCGTATGTAATTATCAGATAATTTGGATATACTCGACTACAATGAGAGACTACATTTTGACGACAGCCAGAACATTGTGCCAGATGTTTGTTGATTTATCAGAAAACGAGTAGCCTTCACCCAAAATTGATCGATTGTATTACAAAAAAAATAGATTTGGTTAATTAATCTCTGGAAATCTATTCGATCATTGTTTATCTTTCATATGTATATAATATACATGTTAGAGATTATATAGTTTTCCATAATTCATCTATCTCTATTCTTATAATCTCTTTCAAAATGAATTATATATCATTATCTAATGAGTAGAACGATTGATGAAAGATGATCACAATTTTCTTGTCTTTCAGATTGACTAAATTTTAAAAGAATTTCTTTCTTTATTGCGTTTAATCAAATAGTATACATAGCGAGAGAGAGAGAGAGAGAGAGGGAGAGAGATAGTCTGTGTGTTATTTCCGGAAAAAAGAGAATCGTATAATAATATATAGTACTGTTATTTTTGTTTTCTTCCTTATTTGAATTTATGCTGAATGAATATTTATTGGAGATTCATGTCATTTTCTTTAGTCGAAGATAAATCTTTTTTTTCCTCAATTTTGACACAGATGCGTACGTCTTTGTATTGATTTTATATGGTAATGTTTTTATTTCATGACAAATCACACACTAAGTTGTTACGAGTAGTTCGCAGACAATTACATCTTAGAATTAATAATAATTGCTTTGATATTTGATTTATAGAATCCGGACAAATCCACAAGAGAAAACTTCAAAACATGTAAGCGAATACTTAGTCTGTAATACACAAATTTCATATCGATCCGAAGGTATTCTAACCGCCATTCGTATTTACTATGATTTCAGAAGCTCGAAACTCATCAAATTATTGATATTTGTTGCGTTTTGTTTTCATTACAGAAGATTCTCTAGCAAATTTTCTTTTAAATATTGAATCTATGTAAATGTTAAAAATGCCGAGACACTTTTCTTAATATCATGCAGTTAAGTTGTATTACTTTTCTTTATAGAATGAGAAATAAATATGATTATAACAATGATTCGTCGATTGAAGGCTTAAACGAAACTTTAATACGTATTGAAATAATTCGTTTTATACAAGAAGTTAATTATTGGTTAATGATAACTGGATTTTTTATGGTTATATTTGGAGTCCTTGGAAATGGCCTTGCACTTATTGTTATTAATCGTCGTTCATTACGGAGTACATCATCAAGTGTATTTATAACATATTTAGCTATATTTGATACACTAGTTCTTATTGTTCATCAAACAGGTTTAATAACATCACGTTCAATAAATTCCCATATTGTACATTGTTTTATTACATTTTTTACGGATTTCGTTACATTTTGTAGCGTTTGGATAATGGTTATAATGACTGTAGAACGTTTTATAGCTGTTCATTCACCACTATTAGCAAAAGGGTTTTGTACATTGAAACGTGCACGTTATTCAATCTATTTGCTTATGTTTATTGCATTTACTTTATTTTCTTTAACATTTCCATTGCTTTACAAGATTGATAACAAACAAAGAAAATGTATTTTTCGTTCACAATATCAAACAATAATACGAATCATAAAACCAATAATATTCTTTTTTATACCGGATATTATCTTATTAGTTAATTTATTTATTATTTATGAATTATTTGTCGCACGACGAAAACGAACACAAACACTCATTAATCCTGAAAATGCTATAAATCAAATCAATATAGCATTATTCAATAGACAACAACAGCAATTAACATTAATGCTTACTACGGTTTCATTAAGTTTTTATATATTTACAACTCCAATAATTATAGATTTTATCCTTCAAAGAAAGCCACCTGATCATCGAGATATTAAACGACTTAAAATGCGTTTTTTACTAAGTAATTTAACTGTATTATGGCTTCAAATGAGTTCAGCTGTAAGCTGATTTGTTTTGGAAAAAACAACTTTTCTAATTGTTCCTCTTTTGTTCTATTGTATTTAGACCAATTTTTTATTTTATTATTTGGCTGGTTCGAAATTTCGTGAAACTTGTTTCCAAACGTTCGATGATATTTATATTTGTATGCAAAGAAATCTAGATACAAATTATCAAAGGCCACGACATTCAAGTGGTGCTGTGACAACTTCAAATTTTTCTATGGAAATGCGACATATTCATCCCGATTATCGAAATCTAACTCAATCTACTTCTATTCAACAAACAACTACTTATATCTCAAATAATTCTTCTAAACGAGCAAGTAATGGCACAGTTTCAAGTGCTCATTTAAATAGTAGACAACTATCAAAATGCGCGTTGAATATACCAGAACTTTAATATACAAAATTTTATGTAAATAATGTGAAATAAAATGAGAAAACAAAGGTATTTTTTCATGTCTACGAAGTATCAACACAACTAAACAAAGATGTGCGACAAATATAAAATTATGCACAAAAGAAATAGAAAAATGGAATGATCATTGTTATAAAAAACAAAACACAAGAAGATGAATTTTACACAAAAACAGATAAAGAATATCTCAGATCTATCTGTACATGAAATCTAAATGAACCAATTTCTTTCTATTAGATCAAACTATATAATTATTTCCTTGATTTTTATTATCATTAGAACGTCGTATGAAAGCTTCTTCCGTATCAGCTCGGCGTATGAACGCTTCTTCACCATCTGTACGACGTATAAATGCACGTTCATTATCATTGTCAGCTTTACGTATAAAAGCATTTTCACTTTCATTGTCATTTTTACGTATGAATGGTTGATCACCGTTCGATGTTTTACGTACAAATGGTGGTTCATCTTTTTCAACGTGACGAACGAATGGTTGATTTGGATTGCCAACATGTCGAATGAATGTTCTTTCACGATTATTCTTTTTATCTTCAGTTATAAAATAGATTTCACATAAAGCAAAGCTAACTATATAAGACAAAATAAATTGGAAAAACGCAACACGATTTTAAAAAATAGAAATTTAAAATAATATTACCAGCTAAAAATGATGATACCATTGAAGCAACAATAAAATGATATGACCATGATAAAAATGTATAATCAGCTCGAGGCATCCATTTGCCAGGAATAGCATCGGCATAGATGCCAAATATAAGAACAGCAAGCAAATTGCAAAACCCTATAATAAAACATAAGTAATTTATTTTCGGTTAATACTAATTTTTCTCAGGCAGATTTATCTTATAATTTTCAAGGAAATTATATAGTTTATTTTATTTTATGTGCTGTAAATATATTACTAGATAAAGATATTTATATAAATGAAGCGATATGAGTCGTCGGAAAAAAATCAAAATACTGTATTCGTTACTGATAGAAACTCTCAACAAAAAAGCGCAAAATCACACCGGCATTGATGTCAGCCGAAGTCATCTGATATTAATTTTTTCGACTAATGCATACATAGAAGATAACTTCGGCTCATAGATGATTTAAAATAAAGTGTAATTAAGATCAACACTAATTAACAAACGAAACAATGCTGAGAAAAAACTAGAGATTTAGTTCTACTCATCGTTTATCAAAAATAATTAACATTGCTATTAAGAATGAAATGAAATGCCTTATTTCTACTTACGGATCAGTCGTTTAGGTGGGAAAACTGATGGTTCTATCTTGAGAATGTCAAAAGTATGGAATCAGAGCTGGGCAAGTCAGAGATTTTCCAAGTCACAAGTCAAGTCAAGTCTGACTTAACTTGACTTGACTTGGGGCATTTTTGACTTGACTTGCCCAGCTCTGATCCTGGATCATCTTTTTTTAATAAATTTCAATTAATAAAGTAGCTAATTGACAGGATAGTCTATTGAATACATATATAACATTTAGAAATTTTCTTCCAAACATTACCTATCGAATCTGTGTCTGTTCTGATAGCTTTTATGTTTAGCAATTTACCTTATTGAGCAACCCCTAAAAAATATGTTTTAAGCTTTGTAAAAGATCAAAAATTTTCTCGATTATTTCATTTTACAATAGAAATTAAAACCATTTCGCTTACAAGCACATGCAGCTAAAATACAACCAATCAATATTGACCGACGCGATAAACGATACCGTGTAATGGCAACAACAATCAATGCAATACAACTGAGTATACTGAATATCAAACCAAAACATGCAAATGTTTGAACAGCAGTAAACCATGCTTAAAATAGATAAAGTCAATAATTGAATAGATTACTATAGAACAAATCGAAATATTAAAATTTACCAGGTGTCAATATTCCATCTTCTCGTAATCCCCTATATTCACGTGCATATAACCACCAACAACCATAATAAACTTTTCCCCAATAATGTTTTGGATTACGAAAACCAGCAATACATACTTGCCAAAGTCCTAATTTACGGAATGTTGTATCACCGACACTAGACGATACAAATGGTAATAAAAAAAAAGAATTATTTTCTTTCTAATAAATATACCGAGGCCATGCTTGTAACCAATATGGTGTTGAAAAACCAATTAAATCACAAACCAATGAGAATATAGCAAAAAACAAAGCACTGCCCATCCATAATTTTTCTGAGCGCTTTAACATTTTAAAATCTAAAACAATGATGTTCTATTTTAATTTTCATTTCATTCTTTTAAATATCATTTTGTATAAATAAGAACAAGTCTAATAAAACAATTATGGTAAACAACATCAACTGAGAAGAAAATGACAAACAATAGATGTTTAAAAAAGAAGATACATTAAACGCAAAGATAAATATATGTATTATATCTGATTTATCTTGTTTCTTTTTTTTTATTGCACTTTTTTTATTACTTTGTCTTTGGCTAATAATAATTCATATTTGTGTTTACTTTTGAACCAAAGAAAAAATGGAAAAGCAATACATGGGCTTGCCATTGCTGTAAAAAGTATCCAATCAATCTAAATTAAAAGAAAGAAAATTTTCATTCATTAGAAATCATAGACAAACTCTTACAATATGTGATGAAAATCGTCGATCATATTCACGATTTGTCATTATGTAAACATTACCGAATTCAGATGAATAAGTTTTCTATGAAAATTAAAACAAGACGATCGTTATTTATCGTATTCATTTACATGATAAACAAGTTGTTAAGATTTAATTATATTTTCAATTAAATTTTTAGTTTGGATTTGAAAAAAGAACAAAACTTTCATTTTCTACAGTTATTACAAAAGCGATAAATATTGTATTTTAGGGATAATATAATATGACTAAGACCTACTATGGAAGATACTATTCAGAAAAAACGTGAGTCTGTTTTTCTTAAATTTTACAATACAAACTAATCTAGTTGATATTATAACTATAAAAATGTTAGATAGCTTTTATAATTACAACGAAAAATAAATACGTCTTTCTTCTAATGTTCAATGTTGCAAGAAAAATAGCTATTAAATACAGAACGATACAATCGTCGAGTCTAATTGACAAGTGATTATTACAAGAATTCAATATTCATTTTCGTTGAAACGTTTTTTGGCAATTAAGAATAACTATATATCTGATATAAACTCAGAGTTTTTTGTTTTGGATTTTTCAAAAGAAAAATTTTGTCAAAATCACACTATGAAGTCAAATGTTAAATAAGTAGATCTTTCCAATTCTTAATTAAATTTAGTCTCATTTTATCATTTTATTTGAAAATCATAGCATGATTCATTTCTGTCTTCTATTAAACACAGTATCAATGCTTACTTGAATAACCGCATTCTTTTCACTCTTTTGATAGGTAATAATAGCATGTGAACTATTATTAAAACCGCTTTCCTTTGGTTTAAGAATAACAACATGAGTTACGTTTGCTCCTCTACGTGAATGATAAATAATATTTATTTTTAAAATAGCCACAAAAGTTGATTTACGGAAGAATTCGTTCCCATTTTGGATTGAGTACACCAACAAACAATTCAAATTTGTCTGCTGGAAAACTACGAACATCATTTAGATTGACATTGAAAACGGTTCTAAAAAATTAAAAGAAAAGAAAGTTTTCGTTATTATTGCGTAAATTAGTTTTTCTGTTTACGTCGGGCCAGAATTGTATAAATCATATTTGATAGTTAATTCCTTATTCTGTACAATAAAACGATTGAGTGTTTGCTTGGTAACAAATAAAAATGATTCTTCATCGTCCGTTTGACAGAATACAACAGCTATCAATGCAAGAAATGTCAATGATATTTTAAGGAACATTATCAAAGAGCTTTTTGATATATTGAAGGACAAAATGATCGTTCTACTATATCAAAGTTTATTGTCAAATGAGTAAACAAAAATATTTTTTAGCGATATATATAAATTCATTCCAGAAAAATGATTAGAAAAACAGAATCAGAAAATGTGAAATATTTTTCTAAATGAAAAAATTAGAAATAAATTTTCATTTACGAAAGATGTCACTGTTAAATGTTTTGATAATAGCGCTACTTTCAATGCAATTAAAATGCAGATTTCATTGCCTATATGGATAGTTTTCGCCAATCAGTGATGTAAAGATATAGTACAGTAACATGAATACAATACCTTGTACGACAGAAAGAACAACGCAAGGTAAGTGTTGTGTATCAATCAAACAAATAATGATCACCTGATTGGTGACATAGCTTTTGTGAGAAGTAGTCGAAGTCATCTGGTTTAGTATCTTTTATTGACGTTTCATTAACTTTAAAGTTGGAATAAAAAATGGAATGCAAATACATCACTGACATTAACTTCATAAAATGATTTTATTTGAAAGAAATAATTCAATACAATCCGTAAATATATCTTATGCTAATAAAAAAAATTTTTTTTTTTTTCTATCAATCATTATACTCAAAAGATATATATTGAAGTAATTTTGTGAGCAAAGAACAAAGCAAATTATGGAAAAAATATATTCAGTAATTACTGAACATATTAAGTAACATAATGATGTCTTAAGAACGTGTCACAAACTTTCGTTAGTGGCTACTTTTTTGTCTGCGGTGGTAAACGAATAACTTTTTCGTTCAGTTTAGTGACTGAAAGTTAATAAAATAAAGAATAGTTTACGTAGTTGAGTGTAACTCATTTTTGTTTTTTATTAACTTTTTATTTTTAATTTCAGATGATAATCAAATCCATTGACAAATTACTAATTATGTATTGAGCTATTTTTATTTTTGCATATGTCAATAACTGAATGGCTTGCGTGTAGTGATGAAGACAAAGCAATGGTCCACATCTATGAAATAATATATACAAATATACATATATTTTAGTATTAAAAAGATGTAGGTTTGGCTGAGAAGTTACTTATCATTTGTATACTTCTTTTTTTTGGATAAATAGTACCCATTTATAATATCCAATCTTCACTCGCAATGGTAGCAATTGTCTAGCAGCTATGAAGATCAATTGTATGAGCCCTAATCCATTTCGGATTGTTTTAATCTGGTAGTTCTCTTAATATCCTCAAAAATATGAGTGCTAAAATGATGAATCTCTGACCAAAACTGACATGAAAGTCATTCAACAAAAAAAGGAATGTTTCTATAATAAAACATCAGACTTACTGTACATTATAAAATCTAGTTTTCTCATTCAAAGAGCGAATGCAAAAAGATTTAATATTATAAATACATTTGCACATATCATCATTCAGCCCTATCGCTTTTTTTTCAGACAAGACAGGAAAACTATGAACAATTTTTTCACAAGTGTCTTCGTTCTTTCCGATTCCTATGCTAAACTGTGTCAATAATCTTTTGACAATTCTACTTTTTTAATGATTCATTAGATTTATTACAATGACTTTACTTTACTACGTTTTTTTAAGATAAATGTTACTTTTCTTCTATTTTGGTATCATACGTTTTCGGTCTATTTAATTTCTAAATGTTTTCATGAATGCGGCTTGTGCACTGCAGCATTTTTGTGATATACATGGACCACAAATATTATTGTGTACAGAAGGAAGAACGTACACCCATGATTTAAATGATACTGACAACGACGGTCTAAAAGCATTTTATGCTCAATACATTAAAACAGAACATTCTCAAGAAAAATTGGAGTGCAAAGTAAAAATAACTTTTTTCAGCATGTCTTTGTTTTATTCATTGAACTTTTTTATAGTCATGTACATTATCGTCCGATGTTGTTCTTGTTTCAACAACTGATTCAATCAATCAAATGCTATATATTTCAGCATCATCAACACCTAATCAAGAATTATTTAAAAATATACGTAATGCTTGTGTACGAAGTTTAACTATTGAAGTAAGTACTTTTTATCGAAAAAACTGGAATTCTACAGATCCACTTACGTTAGTTTAGTAATCGTTTTTCTTTTATTGCTACATTTCATTGACAAGAAGTTTCGTTCAATTGTTTTCATAAATGAAAGTGTTAGCAATCAATTTTACTTATGAAAAAGAAAAATCTAATTCAGTTAATTGATGACTAGAATACCATTTCACTCTTATTCGTTTCTATATCAATAAGATATCTATTCTATTTTTAAATAGAAATCTACTGAAAATGGTCATCCAGTTCTGTTTGGTGATGATGCAAGCGGTTATTGTTTATCGTTAACATTTTCTTGTAAAGATTTTCATGCACGTGGAAGTCAACGACTCTATTCTCTATGTTACTTATGTACTGATAGATATCATATGATTTCTTTGATGAGATTTATTAGTGATTGTATGAGACAAGCTGTAGATTGGTTACAACATGATGCGGATACCACCTATGAACAAGAAGCACGTATTAAGGTAAATACAAAGTTAAATGCAACAACAGAAACCTATATAATTCGCCCGCCACCTCGTTTACCATTACAACGTATGTTAATTGATGTTGTACATGATTCAAAAATAGCATATCGTATTCATGCATTATTTGTTTGGATTCTTCGAACGGGTCATTCAGTAATTAGTGAATCCCTTTTTGACGCTTTACCAACAGAAGAACAAACGACTAAACAAGAGAGACACGGTAAATTTAATTTCAAGAGTTTGCAGCGTAAAGTGTTTTGTTGTTTTTTTCATTAGATGCATGTGGAAATGAATATATAAGAAAAGATCGATCAACAACTGTAATTGAAACATCACCAGTAATATTAGCAAATAATATTCCAGATTATTTTACTACCAAACTTTATTCAACTATCGATAGTTATAATACTAATGACAATGACTTTAGTGATCGTGATGATGATGATGATTATGATTCGTTAGAATATCAATTTTCATCATATGGTTGTAAAGCATTACAACTATTTAGAGACTTCAGTCAAAAATTAAAAAGTTTAAAACATTTACAATATATACTATATAATTGGATAATTGGAAATCAATTAATTATTAAATATACAAATAGCACTGACAATAAAGAAATCATTCGAGCCATTGCAAGCGTTTTTCGGGTAAGAACAAAAGCAAAGTGTAAATTGAAAATTGTTTGTTGTTTTTTCTGTAGCTGTTTTTGCCAGATGGTTGTTGTCGTTTAATGGAAACAACAAATTCAATCCCATCATATGAAGTTAATCTTATTTTATTTGATACAGATTTAATACTTACAGAATCTGATGAGATAGAAGCAAATAATGATAATAGTTCAATTATTATTAAAATTATTATTGATAACATCGATGATTCTATTCAAGAAGCTAAATTAGAGACATTGCCAGTGTTAAAATCCGATATTATTGGTAAGTTAGACTACGAAGAGAGAAAAGAAAAGACTATTTTTTTTCCATTTAGTACCAACTTATGTCAAAACAATTGTTGAATTATTAGCTGACAATAGTTTAGACGATGAAGCGTTTGACGCTATTATTACACAACATAAGATTAAATATTTAAAGTAAGTTATTGAATAAAAAATATCCTTTTTTTGGAATTATTATGACTGGGTTCGGACAAGAAAAAAAATGGAACAATGATGATTAGGTTAATTAGTGATATCATTTTACATTAAAGTGGCCTATGATTTTTCGAACCAGAAAATTTCAAAAAATAAGCCGATAAATATTGCTGATATATTTCGAAGTCTATTTGATTTTGATTGTAATGATTCCCTAGCTACTGTTATAATTAGTTTAGATTCAATTACCTTTCAAAGAGTCTGATAACTAAGAAGAGATGTGATTTTTCTTCATTTAAAGTATAAATAAATCATATACAGATATGATTTAATTACTTACACTAAAAGCTAATTTCATGGTTGATGTATATAAAATAACAATTGACCTATGGAACACATAGACTGAGAATCTTATTGATAGGAAATGACTAAATGTCGGTATGAAATATTTTGATTGTTTGAAATGTTACGAATAAATACAATCTTTATTGGTTATCAAATTGTAAAATTCACTTTAGATAAGTTATGAAAAATTAGGTAGATAACAATAACGGCGCGTATAATATTCTTTGTAGATTAGAAATAATTTACTAGAAATTTTCATTTATACTTACGAGGGAACCGTAACTTTGAAACCGAGCAGCAATGGAACGAACCCTTTCAGGTATTTCATATATATGACCGGCCCTACAAACCAGCAAAAGATGAATCGAAATGGTGCGAATCACTTGAGAATGTTCCCTCGTTAGATTATAAACTACTTGTCTTGACACCGATTTCTACTAAAACTAATCGAGTTTCTTTAGTTGTTACAATGATGAAGATTTTGATCAATTTTACACTGTCACCGTTTAGCGCATAAATTCTATAAATATTCTAAATTATTTTAACATGAGAAAAAGAATCGCTTATCTTGCTTGGAACTTTTTATTTGAATACTTGTACACAGTTTTCGGATAGAAATTTTTAGTTCTTCTAATAAAATCAAGTGAAAGTGAAAGTGAAAGTCTCAAACATAAAGGCTTCGAAAAGTTTTAAAATCTATTTCGGTCATGTGAGGTTGATGAAGGTATAGAATAATTCAAATGCTATATTCGATATTCTCAAAATAGGATGATGCATAAAATTCAGAGACCAAATGTATTGAAATTTAAAAGATTATGTTGTTGAAAGTTTATTTCATGAAAAGAACTACGGGGTTTCACAATATACGTATGTCATTTTTACTTTTTAGTAAATCAAAACTTTATTTTCAAATGGGTCGCTGTAGAATCGCATCAACTTCATCAATAAGTGAAGACCAGCAAATGAATATATTGCATATTAGAAATCCTAGTGACTTGATGATGATTCGATTTTGGCAAAAAGGACTTTCAAATTCATATCAAGCTCAAATACGTATCTTAATACAAGATGATAATCAACAACAACACAAAACGCAAGAAAATAATAATAAAATAAATCATACATAGATATTTTTTGTATAAAATCGAACGATTTCTATCCGGTGATATTTATATCTCTTAGTTTTATTTTTCATTAGCTATTAGACAAAATATAAGAGTTGTATATATTGTTTTCGTTATTTACTCACACAAATGGTATATTCGACATTTGACTTACTCAATTATTTGCGTATCTTTTTCTATTGTATGTAATGACTAAGATAATAGTCTTAACCATATTGTGCGTGTTTCCTTCGATTAGAGCTATATTCAGTGTGCTGCTTTACTGTTAGCTAATGTATTTTTTCTACTCCTGTTTAACGAGAGTTTTTAAGTAACAAAGATAAAACTATAAAAACGTTTGCTGAATTTAATACTATAAAAAGAAGAACCAACGATTACACACATTGCCACCTAAATATGGTGTAATGAGCAATATATTCTCAAGTTAATACTTATACGCTATAATTTTCACGTGAAATTTAAGTTATTCAATATATTTATAGCGCTGCATGAAAAAAAACTCATCAATTACAAAGTTCTAAACGGAACTTAATTGTGGATTGTATGCAAAAAAAGTTTAGATTTTTTACTCGGGTAACTGATTCCTACGTAATATTTTCACAAAGGATCTATCAAGATCAAGATCTCAGTATCGGTTGATCTCTAATTTTCATACTTAACAATTTCTGTAAACTTCATTGACCAAAAAAATTTCTACGCAACATTTAGTCGTTTTCTTTCAGTTTATTTTCATTCTATTGTTGAAATAAGACTTTGTATCAAATCCAAAATTGTTGCTGGTACCTAAACATGGCAACCAAAACAGATAACGATGATTCTATTAGTTGATAGAATTTTTCATTTTCACTTAGTAGAAATAATTGGCAGCAATTAATAATCAATGGGGAAAAAATCAAGTGAATGATATTCTTTTAGTCACGTGAACTATTTGAAGCGAATGAATAAAAACTCTATCGTGATTACACATCGTGAAATACGCTCAGTCTTTTCGATTTAAATGAAACCCAATTATGAACAAGGCATTATACTTTCCTTCTAAGACCATGAGAAAAATCATTTCTTTAAAAATAGATCTGATAACATCAATTTCGATTCATGTTAGTGTGCGAAATTGTTTCGAAATTGGTATGATTCACTATTCAATGAATAACATATGACGTTATTCAGCATTGAAAATAGACTAACGAGAGGATTTTCAAGCAAATTATTGTAATCAATAGAATATATATTGTTGAGAACAACTATTAATAATTGCAAAACTACTAACTATAAATAGGATACGAAATGGTTAAAATACTTTCTGTCCATTCAATACTTGTTTATAGATAGACTTGTACTGATATCATGCTCTATTAGTAAAAGATTAAGTAATAGAAAACAATTAAAATCATTTTTTTAAATAAAAATCAAAGAAATGCACTTAAGTCATGCAGCATTTGTCAAATTATACACAATTTAGTATGAGTAATCAAGTTTGAATAATGAATATTCACATGCGAAATCATTAAAAACTTATCTAAATATCTTCGCAGTTATATTAACAATTAGTGACTCTGGTATGCTACTATTTGGTAATAAATGAAAATGAATAAATTTCATTTTAAAGTCAACTCTACTTTGAATAAATTCATAACCACTTTCGAGATAGTTTTCATTCATCAATCTTTTGCGTATATATTAAATGTCGAAACTCATCAGCTGTAATGAATTAACTTAGTCTAGATTTTTTCTTCAATTATCTGAAGACTTAATTAAATATGTCAGAAATAGACTTTGTCAAATCGAATCGTGTTTTTTTTTCAATGCTTCAATGTATTTCTGATTTGTAAATAGACAAAATGGTTCTAAAATGTCATTTTTTAAATAAAATATTTTTATTTGAACAAGTTAATTGCGGCAAAGAAAGAATAAATTTAAAAGCTGCCTATTTCACTGAAAAAAGTCTACTTTTCAGAATGCGAAACTAATTCGATGAGAATTCATTGTAACGTAAAATAGCTTCTAACAAAGATATTCGAAATAAAATTAACAATATTTTTCGGAACAATTTCTTTTCATTATATTTTTGCATAAAAAAAAAATTTCTTGATATAAAATTCTAATAAATTCACTTACCAAATCTTCATATATACATAGCTATAAAATTCTTTGATTCTCTGCTTGATCATTCAATTAAAACTTAACTATGATTATTATTTCTTATCCTTAACTTCAAAAATGCACGATATTGTAATTATTTTTTTTGAAAAGAACTCATTCCAAAAACTTTTGAGATCCTTAGCTNTTGTAAATTATTATCAAACTTGCTTGTCTCTTAATTAAACCATTGGAATGACATTTATTAATAGAAAATATTGGTATGCATGGAGTCACGAGCAAGTATCTTCATCTTTATCTGATTCTATTTCTTCTGTTTATTTTAATTGAAAGTATTTTTAGTACATAGTTCATGCATAATCAATTTTATGGCGTGCGAATGATGAATATTTTACAAACTAAATGATATTTTTGATGAAGTATGTTTACAAGGATAGAAAAAGCGTAAGAAAAATAAATTGAATATTAAAATGTCAGTTAACACGAAAATAATACAAAACAGTGCTTTTTATTTTATTATGGAACTATTACAAAACGCAAAAGAAGATCACTAAAAAATAGAAACAAAAACGAGTCTTTCGTTTGTTCATTAAGTTCATAAGACAAACGTCATTAATCATGAATTATCTTTCTCATGTTGATTTCAATATATTACTCATTTTCTTTCAGCAGTGTTCAAGAACTGAGAAATAGGGATTCTCAATGTACCGAGGAGTTACCCTTGTTGCTGTGATAATCCCTAGAGGAAATGAGAATCAACTGTCAGTTCTCTCACAGTTCCATCATTCACGAAAATTGCGATATTGTGGTTTTAAAAATAATTTTTGCATGAAACTATTGAGTCTCACAATTTTACAAGTAAAAAGGAGTGTAAAACAAAAATTATCGTGAATGTTCCATATTTTTACCTTTAGCATGCAAAGAACTTTAGGGGAACTGATGAGGAATTCCTAATCCTCAACTCTTGGACATCCCTCTTTTCTTTTCTTTTCCTTCTCAAGACAACATTAGTAGAGGAAAATTTGTAGTGAAATGTCGTGTATTCGCTCTTCTTGAAGATAATATTTTTGAGTTAAATTATGATTTATAATGCAAATATAAATATTATCCTGACATTTTTTTCTATCTAAAGAGAAGATTTTTTTATTTGATAAATCTATCATTTGATCCAAATCATTTTTCTAGTATTACATTGATATTTTCCATTTTTGTTCTACATTGGTTTGACAAAGAGAAAACTAGCAGTTTATATTGTTGTCTTACATAAAATTAGAAATGACATGAATACACTCGAAGATACACAAAATCAATTAAAATAAACAGAAGAAATAGAATCAGATAAAGATGAAGATACTTGCTCGTGACTCCATGCATACCAATATTTTCTATTAATAAATGTCATTCCAATGGTTTAATTAAGAGACAAGCAAGTTTGATAATAATTTACAATGATTCAAACGCAATAAAACAACGAATCAAATGTTTTATATTTCCTGTTAAAAAATATTGATTCACTTTTCGATCTGTTATTAGTGGATAGTTTTGTATCTCCTGTGAACTCGATGCAGTATCATTAATAATTGAACTACAAGTCTGGTTCGCTCAATTTTCCTCAGAGAAGAAGATAAGCTTGCACGACATATACAAAACTATCATGCAAATCGTCGTATGTGCCATTTAATGTGGTTTTGTCGCATGATATGCACTCCCAAAACTGTAATGTATCAAATGCAAATGTTACTTCTCTGCTATAGAAATCGTTTCATATACACGTATAATCTTTTAAAACTAATAGATTTTTTTCTAATAGAAATTTAATTTTCTTTCAACTGAATACTGAAAACAATCTAAGATATTTTCTAAATATAAATACAAGTAGAGAAGAACGTAAGAATATCTTAAGCTAATTGAATGTTGAAAACATTATTCAATTATGTAAACTACGAGTATTCGTACGTGCAGTAAAATATTTGCTATTATAGATCTTTCGAAAACGTTTGTTTTCTTTTCATATTAGCAATGATACATAAGATAAATGTCTGCACTGAAATCGAGCACAACGTTTAAAAGCTAAATTTCTTAATTCTTCTTACTATCAAGAGAACAAGAACTTATCTACATGAGCTGGCAACATAGAAGCCTAGACAAAGTAAATTTATGATTAATTGTTTGTTTAATGAAGAAAAGAATATACATGAAACAACTTATTGAAAAAAAACAGCAATTTATACAATCAAGATTTTAATAGAGTTTTTAGTGTACATTGTTTCATCGATTTAGTTTTTCGTAGATAAATATCTTTAAAATGATTTCGAAACATATGCGATGATAAATAATAATAAAATAAATTAACTGAATGTGTGATAAGTAATGGTACGATTGATAAATAATTCATAGCTTGCCAAAATTTTCTTACTTGTTCATCATAATTATATGTTTGAATTCTTATTGTTGATATACAATTTGGTAATGTACAAAATATAAAACTAATTGATATTGCTAGTAAACTTATTGTTATTTGTAATTGTACGCACAGTTTTTGAGAATATGTTGATGGTGAAGATAACTGTGAATCATATGGCGGAATTTCACGATCAGCATAAAAATCTATAGGAATGTTTCGTATCGATGATGGCTGAATGATACTAATACGTTCGTCACCGTTTAATAGTAGTTTTTCTGGTAAACCATTTTTTCGTTCCGATTGCATTTCAACTAAAAATCAAATGACTCAAAACTTTTTATAGGAATTGCAAAAATAACTACTGACAATTTAAATCAATTGATTTACTTATCATTTGATTGTCAAGTACCGTTACAAACAAATTACGTTTAGTTTCGTTTGGATTTCGTTGGAATTTAACTTCATGTTTATTATTATTATTATTTATCATCATCATTTTTTTTCTTTTCTCACGTTTATTTGAAAAGCAACCATTAGCTAAGTTTACCATTGAATCTTCATTGAGATGGTTTGGTGATAACATCGATCGTTTCTTTTCATATTTTGTTTTCATAATTGATTTTTTGTGGCAAACATTTAGAACAATAAATAAATTACAAATCGATATTATTGTAAACGGTATTATAGAATACGATAAAAGATAAACAATATTCAAATTTGAATATGAATTTTCATACCATTTATAGTATCTTATACTACAATAGCCATTTGAATCAATAGTATAACCAATTAAATAATGTGAATTTATTAGTGACAATGTTAATATAACGAATATACAAACATATTTCGATATATTAGCTGAACAACTGTAACGATATAACGATAAACATGATGTCGCAACAAGACGATCAATTGATAAACATGCTAATAAGCCAGCAGATATTTGACAGGATAGATAATTAAGAAAAACTATTAATTTACAGAATAATATATTCCAATTTAGAATATAAATTTCAAATGTTAGTAAAAATATGAGTGGTGCAGTAACAACTACATAGATTGTATCAAATATAGCAATAGATATAAAATACCATTTTGATGAAGATCGACTATAGATACGTGATTGAAAAACACGAATACATATCCAATTTGCTATAGGACAAAAAACAATTAATAATGGACAAATAATACGTAATGGCCAGAGAGATAATTGTAGTAATTGACTTGTCGAATCTAATGTATTATTAAATGAGTTTATTGTCGTATTCTTGATGAAGGACATAGTCTAAAATATGGTATTAAGAAGGAACATATTATTATTTTGTTTTCTATTAGGCCAAACTCATGATGATTGTTTTTATGGCTAGACTGTGCGTCATATCAATTTTCTCAATACGAATTTTATGAAGGAGAAAAACGAGAACAAAAAAGCTTCAAAGCACTCATCTGTTTTTCCTGGAACGCATGTTCTTTTTTCTGTGTTTAGCTTTAGAACCTTTTTCGCTATTGGGATTCACAATCTGTCTCTCCTGACTCTTTTTACCTAGTTTCATTCAGTTAAAACAGAAACATAACATTGACGTCCTCTGAATAATTCCTATGTTCATTATATTATCAACGATGATGAGACAACTGCAGTCTGTTTTTGATCATCTGTTCTTACCATAGAGATAAGTCTCGTGGGCAATGATGAGCGATGATCGTTGCATGTCAGTGTTGTTGTTTTAGAACTAACATACAAGTTGTAACAACAATGTAGATACAGTGAAGGGGATATGTGTATAAAATAATACAGATAATTCAAAATTAACCGATAATATCCTAATGGTATTAAGAAACATATTGATATCATATTAATAATATGAACCAGTGGAAGGGGAGTCACTGAGACTCATAAGGGTTGAGTCTCACCTAGATTTCGCAAGGAGGCTCAGCCTCACTTGCTTTTGTACTGGTTATTGCTATTTTTACTGAAGTAAAATAAAAAAACACTCATTTTCTGCTTGATGCTTTCATAAAATTCCACATCAGAAAAAAATATTATGAGTCTCACGTAGCTTAGTGACGCTCCGCTGCCCCGATATAAACAATGAAATAAGAACATCGTTAGAAATATATTATGTCTTTCGTGTTATTCGATAAGAATGGTAAACTACAGTAATCAAGGAAGCTGTTAAAAAAGAAAAAAAAAGAAATGTATGAGGCGTAAATTGTTAGCTAACAACCTTTTTTAATAGATATTTTCTTTCCGTTTGTTAGTTCTCTTCTTCTTCTCTCTCTCTCTCTCTCTCTCTCTCTGTCGAGTGCTCTTCTATGCGCTTTTGCTTTATACATCGATTATCGTCTCGAAGTTTTCTTCTAAATGTTTTCCTTTTCTATTTTAAATAAAAGCTAAGGCATCATAAAAAATGTTTCGAAAGTGTAAATGTAGCAAGATTATTCATAACTGCATGGCTAGATTGCTTCGAAGAATAATGACATGTTCAAAATTAACAATACCATGTTATTTGTACTAATACGTGCTTGATTCTAGTATTGATAGACCTATTTTATCGTTTTCCATCAATATATCATAGCAAAGAAACGAATAGGACAGTTAGATCTTGATCGAAGTTTTTTAGAAACAAACGACAACATCAATTTTCTGAAATATCCAGAATATAAAATGGAACTTAATTTTGATGGTCATTATTAAATTGATTTGTTTCCTATAAACTGATTGATAAATTAAAATATTTTAACAATGAATAAAAAGAATATTAAACATGTAGGTGTTTTATTTACGTTTATTTTACTTATTAATTTAAGGATAAGAAAATCCGGAAGTAAGATATCAAACTGAAAATTTGAAAATCAATAGACTTTTTTTTATCGCAATCAACTTGCTCTATACATCTGTTTTTTTAAGCTGCAAACTATTATTGAAGTAAACATGAAAGTGACAATATATGCCACGAGACTTTTCATGACATAGCATAAAAAAAGCTCTCATGTTTCATGTCATAGTTAAGAAACGTGTGTTTTGTCTGATGATATTTTTGTTTTAGCTAAATTTAATACCACTAAAACATGTTTTCAAATAATATACACCAAGGGCAACCGTTTCGATCTGTTTTCAAATCATTCAAAGGAAACGAGACCATTATTTACATTAAACAGTATAATTATTATCTTAGTAACATTTTAAAACCAGTTATATGTTGAAAGAGACTAGCACAAATCAATCTATCCTTATTTTTCCTGTGCTTTTCCGTCTATATATAGATGTTGTGCGTGTAAGCTGTTAATGCTTCTTATTGCAATTAAACGTTTGATCTTGGCGATATATACTGGGCAAAAACAAGTCGAGGGCATAGGTTACTTCAGTTATTTGATGAGCTATACAATAATATAACCTGATTCATGCTAAAATGTCAACATCTGTTTTCTTTATTCGATTTGGCTTCTCTGGATAATATATCGAGCACTAAGGTCGTATAAGAAAACGAGGGTTAATTGAATAATGTTCATGAGCATGAAAAAAAATGAACATGATAGTGTTGCTACTATGTTTTACAAGAATAAAATAAAATTCAAGTTCAAAGGAGATTTTTAATTGAAATTATATATATATATATTAATATTTAGAACGATTAAAGTTACAGAATGTGTTCAATAATCTTCACTAAATATCTATTAAACTACTTATTATTGTCTTCGAGAACAAATGAACTAAAAATCTAGAGAAAATATCGAGGCGAATGAAAATATTTTTTGTTTTAAAAAAAACGTATCTAGTCTCTTAGAAATCATGAAAATTGTCTGTTCGACATTCTCAGATAGTTTTGACAGTTTCTATTAAATATTCTGTAACACTTATAGTGAGAAGAAGAAAAAAAACAAAAAAACATCAACAAAAAGACACAGCTAAATAGTTTATCAGTGCTATATAGCATGGCAAATAGAATGTGGTTGAAAATTTTTCTTCGCAATACATGATCATTTATATATGATCTTTAAGTACAATAAATTTCCATCATTAAAAAACTAGTTAAATCAATAGTCTTGTTTTTTTTATCTTAGTTATAAATAGATTTAATTTATATAAACAAATCTGTTATCTGCAGTTGTCATCTGCAGTTACAATCAAGCTACTTAAACCAGAAGCTAATTATTTATTTCAAATGATTCGTCTCTATTGCAAAGGCAATTCTTATTTTCTATAACACATTACTTCATCGGACTTCGTAATAGTCGGGCACAGTAGATTTCAATAGTTCATAGGTGAATTATTTGTTATTTCTCTACCAACTCCGTAATTTGAAGTAAAATAAAACAGAAGTTGATAATACAAAAATTGATTACTTACTAAGCATCTGTCGAAAAATTAGTTAAAAATTCTATTAGTAGAAAATGCTTGTTGCAATGTCATGCTTAGTATGTAATATTTAGAAAAACGATATCACTTTGTTTTTAAGTGCTAAATATGCGTTCAAGGCTTTCTCAATATATTGCCAGATAGTTCTTTTCAACTCAATAAAGTTCAATGAAGAAAACAACAGCGTGTTACTGAATACTTAAAAGCAAATAGTTCTTTGCTACTCTTCATCTTCATGATTGTATTTAGTTGGTAAGTAAAAATTAAATGAATATGAGAAAATAGATATTAGTTTGTAGGTGAGAATTTCATAAATAAATCATCATTATCAAATTACTGCCTTCCAGCAGAGAATAAGTTTATTAAAGCGTGAATCAAATTTTCAGACGGGCAACTATTAACAGTGTCTTTGTTAATCTTTTATAGCATTTAGAGAGGATGTAAAAGTATTAACACTATTGTACATTAAAATTACATTTCGATCCTGCTTCATCGAAGAAAAACACTATCGTCGGGAAATATGAAATATGATCTACCGGAATTGTTTGTCTTTTTTCTTTATGATTTGTATGTGTTCGTCTACAATCAACACAATTAGCTATATGAGTGTTGCTTCCGGTTACATACATATACATGTGGTAATGTCAATATTGCTTTTTTTTTATGCTACTGTGCTCGTCTCCGTTCGCCTATTATTTATTGGAAATCCTTTCATAATCCTATAATCATAATCTTTCGAAATAAACATCAAACGATCAACACATATATTATTACTTAGATTAGTAAATTTCAATGGAATATCTCACAAAATCTATTATGATAATAAGTGTTCGTACGGACAGAAGCTAGATATTTCGGAGTTCATCAGAGGCTGAACGGCCTATGAAATTAATTATTAAAACAGATTGTTTGAAATGTATGCTTACATCTGTAATAATAGAACATGTTATCTGTTTTATTGGGGATTATCTATTTGCCTAAAAGTACAATAAATAGTATTTTCAAAATAAGCAAGTAGTTCACCTTGTTTTAATCAATGATTGCTTCATAGAATGATGCCTAAAATGGGAAATTTTGTGATTTTCTGTTTTAACACTGTTTCAAATTTGTTTTGAGTCTAATCTGGAAATAAAACAGTACAACGTATGCTGCAAAAAAATATTCTATTCGATTCTTTTGGTTATAAAGACATATTACAAAATCGATGAACTAGAAAAGTTTACAAAAAATAATGCTAAATCATTAGCTATATTGTTCAGTATATAGAAACAGTTGTTATTTTTTTATGAATATGCTGTAAATCATTCTATTAGCTCAGTTTTCTGTAATTCAATTTTAGAATAGTTCTGTTGATAGAAGATCGGGGTTTTTATTCGCATTTAATTTGTGACTGTTTGATGATATGGTTAACATGTTCCTTTAGACAGATTTTATTTTAAAAGCTACGGAAACTTTTATTTTTATTTTTAATTTAATTCTCATTTTCGTTTGCAGGCAGATGATACAAGTATGTGCCTCTTTATTTTTCTCAACGTGGTATAAATGTTCACGTATTTATGGGTAACTGGACAATTCTTCGCGTACATGTTTATTCTAATTTAATTAAGGGAGACTAATGAGAATGTAGAATAATTGATATAGATAATTGTATGAATAGTGACAAGAAATGTCTTCTGTTACTGAGGAGAATTATTTTATATTTATTTTTAAAATTAATGGGTTTTTTCTGATTTTCCAAAAATCCTATTAGATTATTTATTTTTTCCTTGAGATTCATAACTCAGTCTACGAAATTCGTGGGCTTATTCAATTAATTGACCATAGTCTACTTGATTCAATTACATCAAGCAACACGTCATATTCACTTTCATTAAGTTACATTGCGACCAATTGTCTTGCGACGAATTGTCCGACGACGAATTGTCTGTGCGACGAATTGTCTGCAACGAATTGTCCGCGACGAATTGTCTCGCGACGAATTGACCTAGTACCGTATTTATGTAACTAGCAGTAGCTTTCGCCGCTGCAATATCGGAAAATAGTGTTCGAAATTATTTCTCATGAGCAAGTGATATAAAATTACAAATTCCTATGATGTTTAATATTTAACAATAGGCAATTATCTTTCTACGACAGTGAATATGTAAACGACAAAGTGTGTTCTTCTTCTAGGCTGCAAATAGCTCAATAAATTCTAATAATATAATTTGTACTTTTGCAAAGCAAATGTGAACAAGCTTTCATAAAAGCTACTGTTAGACAAAATTCTGTTTGCACTGTGTTTATGTTGTATCGACTAAGACTCATATAAATTAAACCAGTAGATTTTAATTGAAAATACACTAGTACATTCCGAAGAACTCATAGTGTTGATTAGTATTCAATTTAAAATAAACATAATTTAATACCAATACACTATATAACATTGGTTGATTGTCTTTTTCTTTTTTCTTTTTTATAGAAAAATTTTGATCTTTTCAAAAACATATTTCAAACTACCTGCGATCTCAATTTTGCCGAATAAATACATATGTATATGCCGTTAATTGTTCATTGAATGATAAATTAAACGAAACATTAAGTTACTCACATCGGGTGCATAAATTGGAATCCTGGCTGTACGTTGCACCCGTTTGATACTTTGATCCTCGATTCCAGTGGTGGGAGAAAAATGAGCAAAATAATAGTTATTAAAGAACTAGTCCTCACACAAAGCATATTTGATGGGGCTCATCATATAGAGAATAACTGTAAAGAATACTTTTCTTAGTCGCAAACATAAATGGCTTTTCTAATACGACGTTCGCCGAATTGATAATTGCCGTTTCGGCACTCACACGCGAATGGGATGTCATTGAAGCTTTAATTGGTACTCGAAGTTTTTCATCCCTACCACTTACTAAGAATCTTTCACATCATAGACAATATGTGTATATCATAATGATTCTCTTTCGCGCATGAAGATTGAATGTACTGAATATTTACTTGTACTTTACATTGTCTGATTGTATCGTTCATATGGGAATGTCGGAGTAGTTTGAATTAAAAGAATGACAAATTTATCATTATGAACTAGAATCCACTCATTCTCTGGGAGAAGAATAATACATCTTTTTCAATCAAAAAATACAATTGATTTCGCCTATCGTCACTCTTCTTTATTTGTTTGTTGTACTATAGACGAAATATATATATATATATATATTGAGATTTCATATACCGTAAACTTTTCCATTATACGGATCGCTTCGGATATTTGCAATTACTTAACACATGGTTCTGATTTGATAGCAGCGACGCTTGTATATCATATAAAGTAATGTAATCCGAATCGATATTAATAAGATTTATTTGCTGTATTATGATTAAGGTTGTGCTCAACTTCAAATATCATAAACGATTAGTCGTATATATCATCGATTTCTACAAAAACTAATCTTAATGATGTACCTAACAATCGAACTCTCCCTCGCATTATTATATTGCTTTTTTAATATTCAACAACCATAATGACATGTCTGAATAACTTCGCTGACAATTGACGAGATAAGTACACGTTTGAAAATGCCACTATATACAGGATGCCATCATGTCTGTTGAGTATTAGAACGAAAATAAGATATAATCATAAGAAAACTTGAGTACTTAACATATGACAGCTATATAATTGTTCCCACACTAATTCTATTTCTACTGGTAACACTTTTAGCTGTAAAATTTGGTTGTGAAAAACATTAGTAGTATGACTCAATTATGACTGTGACAATAAATTTACTTGAATAAGATTTTATTTCGTACTTGATGATAGTTCAACAAGAGTGAGTTTCACAGGATATGTGTCAGATCTATAGGTCAATACGCTTGTCGTATTAGCTCACATTATTAGAACTCTTATGGTGGCATGTTGAAATGAAAAGAAAACGACAGGCAATGTCTAAATCATCCATCAGCAAGTTAAAAGTCAAACGAAGTTGCTATGACATGGAGCTGATTGAAAATAAATAATATAACAAGGGATTTATCTTATTCTTTACTAACAATGCCATTGTAATATGAAGAAAATTTATTAATAAATCGTAATTTCTCTCGATTGAGTAATTTTCTATGGGTGCTATTTCTGGTTAAATTCTTTTGTTGATCCATCCACATCAAAATGAATCATTTTTGTTTTGATGCAACACTAATAAGCAATAAAAGACAAACATATTTCTTTCCGTTAACTTTTGCAAGTAGTTGATAAATATCGGCATAACACCGTTTCTAACACAATGGTTATTATTCGTGCCAAAGTCAAAAATTGTTCTTGTTGCGGAACAGCATCACCTCAAAAAGAAATTCTGTCGTGCACAATATTTCGTCAGCCTGATCTTGATATGAGGTGAGATGATTTGTACTTTTTTTAAGCAAGACTGAACCTCATATACGAATTTTACTAATATCAATAGACCACCACCAATGCAACGTCAGACAATGGCTGCTTGGATTGAATATTGCTCTCATTGTGGGTATTGTAGTGACAACATAGACGATCAGAACGGAGTGACATCAAGAGAAAAAGAAAGAGCATCTAATAAATGCAATCATTTCTATTTTTATTTATTTTAGACGACGCGCAAAAACATTATCGAGTCACCAGACTATCAAGCACAGCTATCTTCCAATGAGTATCCAGAATTAGCAAATCGATTCCTTTGTTATTCAATTCTATTGGGTAAGATTTGTGACGGTTATTACAATCGTCATTTGACCTGTTGAAATTTTTGTTGAATAATATTCAATAGCTTCCTTTCAATAAATGATATTTATAATCATGTAGCTTGTATATTTGCTAAATTAAAATAGATTACTACTGTAGTGAAGAAAAAAAATGAAAATAGACTAGAACAGTGCTGCCTTGATTATCATAATAATCCAGTTCTATTTGTTTTACCACTGTAGAAAATGAAAATAGCTTAGCAGAAGCTGCGTGGCAAGCACTTCGAGCTGCTTGGACTTGTGATGATGCCAATAATCAACAAGGAGCAGTTCGTAGTCGCCTGCGCGCTGTTAATTAATCGAAGATTCTCGCTCAGCTAACTTGGAGTTTAGTAGCCAACTTGGTCTCGATCGATGCATTCAAGCTGATGCATTACGACGCGCAGGAGAATTTCAACGTGCTAAAGAATTACTTCAACATCAACAGGTAAGCTTCTAAATAACATTGAATTGATTCAAATGCATTTGTACAATTGGCAGGGTGGAGAAGAAAGAATCAAGATTTGGTTTAAATTTCAACTTCATTTAATTGAATCGAACGATACAAGTGAGAAGAAAAAAATACATATTCATAGCTTCATTGTGTTTTTGTAATGACTAATTTGTTTAAAGGATGCTACACAATTACAGATGCTCAAAAGTATCATGATCTTCACATAGAATAAGCAATGATTCGATCCGAAAACTAAACTATATCTATTATTTGCGCCGTGATATTCTCTATATTTACACGTGCTTCATTCTTATTAAAAGCAATTTAAAAATAAAATTCTCATTCTACTTGATTAAGTTCTTGAAAGATATATTCATTTTAATCATTTTTTTGTGAATGAGTGTGTCATATGTTGTTGTTATTAATCATTTTTCTCATATGAATACATGAACGTTTTTTTCATTTAATATACTATTATTTAAAAAGTAATCTCAGCAATTTAGGTGTATATGAAAGCTAAAACAACATGAAATTATTCTTGTAGACAATAGAAAAAAAGAATATATTTTTTATTGATGGAAATTCTCTCATTAACAACTATAATTGAAGCCTTTTTTATTTCTTCTTTTTCATAAAAAAAAACCTGTAGCGATAAACTTGAAATTTGAATGTGTCTAATCTTCGTCATCATCATCTTCGCTTTCTGCATTTTGTAACCATTCAACAAATTGTTGAAGTTTATCATAGTAAACTTTTTCTTCTGGTTTTACTTCTAGTTGATTAGTTTTTATTTTTTCCTGTTTATTTTTATACCATAATAGAATCCATTGTTCACTAATAACATCATTTTCATATAGATAATTCAATATATTCAAAATGCGTTCACCAATGGGTTGAATATATTTCAAACAAATTAAATCTAATTCATTTAATAGTAATACTTGTTCGGATTCATTTGTTATTTTCATATAATTTTTTATAATAAATTGTGATATTTGATCTAATGTCAATTTTAATGTATTCCAATACGTTGTTTTTTCTGGATTAGCAATTTTCCTTTCAAGTGGTAATAAAAATACAGCATGTACTATTGATTGATCAAATTCAGTTGGCGATACAGCATACGTAGGTTTTAACATATTTAGTTCAACAATAATATTTTCAATATTAAGTTTTTGTATATAAGCACGTTCTAATGTACGAATGATTTCTTGTTGAAATTCATTAATTTCATTTCCTTCATCTGATGAATTATCGTCTGATGAAGAATCTTTATTGTCATCATCATTTTCTGATGTTTCATCTCCGGTTTGACTATCGATTGACTGATCAGTAGTTCGTTTCGACATCGATTGACAATATTGTTTACTTTTAATCGCATCTCCATCATCATCATGTAATATATCTTTATTTTCAATAGGTTTTATACGATAGCCCCAAGCATTGAATGCATTCAACTCATTTTTATCATTATCATCATCTTCATCATCATCGTCGTCGTCGTCGTCTGTGAGCTCAAAAGCTTTTGTTTGATCATCATATGTCGAAGCGAAAATAAGTTCTCGACCTAAACCATCAGCACCAACTAAATCACTATTTGATGTTACTGTTTCTTCCATACTGGAACTAACGGATTTTTCCGAAAAAGATTTTTCTGATAATCGTGTTGAACTCGATCGTTGTTTAGAACTCGAACGTTTAACATTCTTTGATGGCATTGGAATATCATCATCAATTTCGATTTCATCAACGACACTTGCCGATGTTACGGAGTTCGATGCAATAATAGTCATACGTTCATTTAAATGAACATTAGTACCAATAATAACATTTTTACAAAGAATACATTGTTGATCTATTTGCACATTATTACGAATAAGTACATTATCGCATATAATAGAATTTTTGATTAAACAGTTTTCACCTATTTGTACATGATTCCATATGATTGAATTTTCAATTTTTGTATTTTTACCAATAGTACAATTTTGGCCTATGACTGATGAACGTAAACATACACCAGATAGAATTTGAGATTTATAACCAATAAAAACATCTTGCTGAATATTTGATAAACGATCTAATTGTATATCACCTTGTTTATATATATTGTGTCTATCGTAGGTGATTCGATACCATTGATTGTAAATTGATAAATATGAATCATTTAACTTTAATGGAGGCGATGAAGGATTTGCAACTATTGATGGTGTTTGTGAATGTTTTGCTCCTATGGTTTCAGGTACAAGCGGATATAACCATCGACGAAGAATATCAAATGTTGCTTTCATATATAAACGTAAATTATGCACGGGAAGGAAATAACCTTTTTCATATAAATATGAATAAATTGTCTGATTCGCGACTTCATCGCGTAAAACACCTATTAGAGAAAATGCATATTGTAATGAAAGATCTAATTAGAAATGGCTTCGAGGTCAATAAACAATTCTAATCTATGAAAGATTTTTTCTTTTAATATTGCTATAGGTGTGCATGACAATATTATACCTATATTCGAGTTCCATCTAAGACATCATGATAGAAAATAAAAGTAAGCTATTATTATCATAAAATTAGTAAGAAAAATCGATGAGAAATTCTCTTTTTAAAATGATTTTGTAGACTAGTAAATAAATTACAACATGATGATGATGATGAAGATTATCTCGAGTTATTCATATTATTTTATTTTCCTAGAAGTTAACAATATTTTTATATTGGTTATCTCAATGGATTCTTTATGTGATCATTCGTTGTTTCTCTTCAGTGTCATAGAATACGGTCTAACTTGATTGATTTACTTCCGAGTTGTACCTATAAATGAGCTAGTAGTTATTCGAAATATTCGATGCATTTCAGAATCTACCAGAAAAAATATCAGCTCGTAAGTATTTGTACTCTAATCTAAAAAATAGTTCAGCCTATCTGTCTTACGCAAACTTGACGTTTTATTAGAAACATCTGTTTCTTCGCGAACATCCGAACAAATAAAAATATAATTTATGCTTAAATCTTGAAGGATTCTTATTTTTCAGTTAAAACGATAATAGTTACCTTTAACGAAGTCATGCATTGTAAAAAAGTCGAAATTATCTTTAAATATATGTAAAACATCAGGCGAGCAAACTGCCAAATGACAATCCAATGAACAATATAATGTTTCGATTGCTACATTAGGTTTTTCTAATAAATCAAGTGGTATTTCATATATATCAGAATATTCTTTTGAATAATCATATAAACGATGTGTATTAGCATCACGCATAATATACGAATATTGATCATCTGTATATGATGGATGTTCAATATAATTTGAATCTAATTGACGATAAACAAGTGTCATAATACAATTTTTATCTTTTTTGACATTTTCTTTATGAATAGTAAATAAATTATCTAATTTTTCATTGGTTAGCAATGTACCATTACCATGGAGTAATAAAAAGTCGTGATTTTTATCATTTATTAAATGTTCCTGTTCAAGATCTTTTAAACAATCACCTAGTGAGCGTGCTTCTTTACAAGAAACGAATTTAATCAACTTCGGATATGTACGTGACCATTCACTATTCGTTATATACGAATGAATTTCATATGAATGTGATCTTGTTAATAAGATAATTTCTTGCACACCTGATCGTACTAATGTATGAATAGTGTAATCAAGTAATGGTCGACCATCAACAGGCCATAAACATAATGGAAGTGACGTATGAGAAACGATTTCATTTGTGTAAATATTGAATGTATCAAGCACAAGTACGCATGTTAATCGTTCTTCAGCAAGATGATCAGCATTTATATTTGTCGGTTTAACCATATCTAAAAAGAATAATAAACTAAATTTTATCAATAACTAGAAACATGGATATAAATAAGAAGCGACTATATTGAATGATGAAACATGAAAACACAATATGATGCAATACTTTTTGAAATAACAAAAACCTGGTAACTTAAATTTAGCTCTTTCATAGAAGCAACGGCATTATGATATTCTATTCTTTGGCTAGGTTCGATAATCAAATCAAGATACAGAAATCCATATTTTACCATATTCTAAAAAACATTACTTAGCCTATCTAAAATGAAGAGGCAATGTGTGTTATAACAATTAGAATTAAGTGTACATTTTTTGATTTTTGTTCTGTTTAATATTAAATGGAGAAAAAATGACTTATACATAAAACGAATGAATAACTTTTCTTATAAATTTACTAAAGCAAATACTATTAAGTATCTGAGAGTTCCATCACGATTTCTATAAACAACCGTGTTGTTCTGAACTTTCAACATGTAAAATGTCTCAAACTAAGGATTTTCTAATAAAATCAATATCATCTGGATTCTTCATAATCATTAAAGCTACCCAAACTACTATCTATTTCATGAACAAGCAAAAAATGTATATTTATGATGACTATACAATCGGGATCGAATTTAATATTTTGTCGAGCATAATTTGTCTGAAAAAATAAAATAGAAGTACAATTATATTTCATTTTTGAAATTAATCTCGTTGATGAGTATGTGGAACTCCGGCGTATCGTGTATTTTCAAGAATTTTTTCAATTTCACTAGTAATAACAACAGTATTACTGTAGTATTAAAAGTCTACTACATGGTTAACTGGTATTTATAATTATGTATTTGATATTACTCCAGTACATTGTTCGCATTTATATGAAGGCCACGAACAATATAAATTTCGTCATCTATGCGTACGAGTTCAACTCGTGATTGTTCATTGGTGAGTTCGTCGACGAATAGGAATAGGAAGAGAAAAAATGAATGAATGAAAGGAATATATCGAACAACGCGATTATTGTCTCAATGAATTGTTTTGTAGATGTATTCATTAATTCGAAATAGTATTGCTCGAATAATTCAACGAGATTTCATATCAAACATTGGTTTTTCATATCGGTATCAGTTATTTATTATCTAAGTTTTTTCTCATTTGAATTATTCTAGTTCAAGTACAACTAACATCTCACCATCAAATGAAACACCGAAAGATGCTGATAATACAACTAAATCCGATTCGAAATTCCCAGATAAAACCAAAACAACTGACGTAAAAGTGCCATGGAAATCAAATGTAATCGAAATACCAGTTGCTATGAGCTCCCAATATTTAATGGAGAATTTCCGTGAACATCGTCAAGGTGGTTTTTATTATGATCATAGAATTATAGTACCTGAAATGCCAGAAAAATATACAACTAAGCCATTTGAAACACGAAAAACGGGTGGAAATCATCCTGATACGGGTAAAAACCAAAAGAATTTAAATTTGAACATAGAGAAGTTTTTTTCTTTCATTTAGGTAGAAAAGAATATCGTCGAGTTGGTGGTGGCTTAAAAAAGACTTGGCTATGGATTGATACTATGCGGCAAGGGCCAAAAAGTGGTCCACCGCTAGTTGAACGTGTTATTCGTATTGTCAATAGTGATTGTCATACAGCTAAAGCTGCTTTAATTGGACATGGAAATACTCTTCGATATATATTAGCAACTGAAAATCTTAAAGTTGGTGATCTTGTTAAAACATCTGGTGACATACCAAAAAATCCAGGTTCGACTTTTTTTTTCTTTGACCCTTTTGTTATTTTCTAGACATTCGTTTTTGTTTTTAGTAAAAGCAAGTGAAGGTGATGCATATCCAGTTGGTGCATTACCAACTGGTACAATAGTTAATTGTGTTGAAGGTTATCCCGGGCAAGGTGCCAGATATGCAATGAACGCTGGCACATATGCAACAATAATGAAACGTGTTGATGATCGATGTATTTTACAATTACCTACAAAACATGAAATATCGATACTTGAACAATGTATGGTTACTGTTGGTCGTCTATCGAATGTTGCACACAATGAATTCGTTTATGGCAAAGCTGGTGCAACACGTTTATTGGGTATAAGACCAAAACTTGGTTTGTTCCATAAGAAAACATCTCGATTTGGACGAAGACCATTTCGAGCTAGACCTATACTTGTTATTACTGGTGAAAAACCTGAATATCCAAATGTGATCAAGTTACAACATCCTTCCATTGATCCTTATAGATAATTGTTTTCTTTATTGTTCTTTTTTTTGAATAAACTCATTGAAAGCAATATCTTGATGTGTTTTATTCTAAATTTTATTGTAAACTTCGATAATGATATGAGTACATGAGAATAGATCCCAAGAATAGTGATATCTTTAATTTAACATAAACAGAACAAAAACAATGAGTCAATTCTCTTATTATCAAATCAAAAACAATAAGGTTTAATATTCACTCAATGGAAAAGTTCTTGGTACTTTTGTCCCCACAATACATCCATCGTGAGATGTAGATAACTATTTGTTCTTTTGATAAATCTTATCATCAGTGTACTTGTTTGAATCAATTCATAGATATATGTAGAACAATCAACTATCTAAACATATAATTCTATTATCAAGTCTTAGCTTTTCAGTTTTATAATTAAAAATTTTGTATTATTGTTACTCTTAGTCTTTCTTTCAGATATGGATGATTCAATGAGTTCTGTTCATAGCATATCAGCTATGGATATTTCACCAGCGTCTAGTCCAAGAAATGCAATGAATCAATTCCCGTTAAATCATCTACTTGTGAATACATTCCAACAACAACAACAATCACTGTCAAATATTTTATTTAGTGAGCCTAACATGAATGATTATCCACCAATAAATGAAAATCCAATGTCAAATGAACACGATGATAATTCAAAAGCCTATTGTCTATTTTCATCGATTTTAACAGAGAATAATGGTGATATACGATCACCAATTATTACAGATGAATCAAATCAACTTCGACAAAGAATAATAACAGAACCAAATCCATCAATTGGTGATGCAGTACCAATTATAAAAAAATCATCTCAACGATCATGTTATAAAATTTTTCTTTTTATTCCAATTATGATATGTATAATATATTCTATGAGTCAATATTTCAATACATCTGTTATTCTACCACGTTCAACAAGTTGGCAAAATGCAAGTGAATACTTGGCTAAAAATCTTATTGGACAAGAACAAGGACTGGAACAATTTAACGATGCTATGGAAAAACATAAAAATTTAACTATCGTTCTTATTGAAGTATTTATTGACTTTTGTAATTATTTAAAATAAGTATATCTAAATAATTTTAGGGTCCTATCGGTGTTGGGAAATCTTATTTAGCATCATCACTTGAAAAATTTATACCAACAACTCTCATATCTACGAATACGCTTCTTGGTCTATCACCACATCATTGGACTGAATCTAATCGTCTCTCATCATATCTATTATCATATTTATCTCCGTCCTTATTTCAGTTTTTAATTATTGATGATGTAGATTTATTGCCAACTGATGCAATGTATTGTCAAACATTAACAACAGCTTTAACTTCGATTGATAACAATAAAAATGTATTCATACTTCTTCTACAAACTGGTACAATCTCAAACATATGTAAAGAAAATTTTGACAATATAATGACGAAATATATTCAATTTAATATGTTACAACGTCATCATATTCGAATATGTATTAAAAATGAAGCTTATATACAGAATGTTCAACCACCATTTGATAATCAACAAATTGAAAATATTCTTAATTCAGTTAAATATACGAATGAGAAAGGAATATTATATAGTACAACGGGTTGTAAACAAATCCCATCACTTGTTATGCTAGAATCTAAAAGAACAGCACAGTGATAATTAGCTAAATTTATTATTTATTTTCTCTTTTCTTAAGAATACTCAATAAACTAGATAATATACGCGATAATTTCGTGATCATACAAAATATCAGGATCAGTTTATTTTTTTTTCTATATTCTAATGCAATAGTATTGTTGATCAAAGACTAAAATTTGATGCCATCATGGATTTGGTTGGATGGTGCTCATAGAAATCTAATGTTACAAAATTTCGCTTAATGTTATTTTCAGTATTGTGAGATAATAAACTTGTCATGAAGACTTTACAGTCTATCTATGAAGAAGAAAAAAGTCTCTTTTTGCAGATTTATTTTCGAATATTTTTATTGCAATAGTAACGAAATGTTGCGGATTCCTGTAACTAAGAAATTTGGTGTTATTTTGCATTTTCATTGAATATTATAAAACGGTGAAAATAAATTTTTTATGTTATTAATTTTTTGCCAAGTCGACAATGGTTGTTTAGTCAAACATGTTTTCCAACGTTTCAGCTTATGTTAACATTATAAACAGAAATATTTTTATATAGCGTCGTAGTAGAGATTTCATCCGTTCTAATAATAAAACTTCAAAGGATCCATGACGAATTCTTGTTCTACTATAGAATCTCGCTATTGGGTATTCATGTTGATATTATTTGAGATATTAATGAGATTCTAACTACCAATGAACTGTTAATCTTTACATTTTTCGATAGGATTTTATTTTTAATTTAATTTTCCTAAGTTCGTTTAATTGTGTATTTTTATCCTATTGTTGACATATTTGTTTCTGAAATAGGAGGCTTTTTGTTACTTATTTTATTCATTTGACTAAGTTTTTCCTCTCTATATTTGTATCGGGCAGATTGGTTGCATCATCGCTTGAGTTTCGTTTATGTCAGTTGTTAACTGTTTCAATAGCATTGATCAACGAAAGACATTGTTGTCCTACGGCATTTTTTTATTCCTATGCAGTTGCAATTTCTTGATCGCGTTGTCGAGAATGTTGAGTAAAACTTTTCGATACACGCAATCGATCACCTATTGGCGTATTTGATAAATCTCTACGTCTACGATGAGGACACAATGATGTACGTCGTACAAATGTTAATTTTACGCTAGTCATATTATACAATAGATAAAAATAAACAATACAATATATTCTACAAACAGGCAATAAACTTGTGCATCATCTATTCAATCCTTTTTTCCTATTAATAATATCCAAATATATTGGATTTTTGAAAGGCAAAACTAAAGTAGAAAATATGCGATCAATTTTTAATAATTTGATTATATTCAAATTGAGTAAAATAAATCAAGGTTAATCGTTTTATTTGATCAATAATATAAAGTGAACAAACAGTATCTATATTTTATATCTGTTAGTAATTCCATAATAGACTGGATCATAACTACGACAAACATAGTTCTTAAACAAAAAGAAATTCAAACATTCATAGGCTTCATGATGAAAACTTCGAAGAAGTTAATCGTCATTTATTGTTGATTATAAATATAATGTATGCATAATTGAATCAACTAATAAGATATGTAAGACAAATCGATCTTGATTAATTATTTACGATTTGGATAGTTGCCCTTCAATAGATTACATTATTGATGGAAAGAGATTGAACTCTGACAGTGACCACCATATATTATTTTTTTTATGAAATATTGATTTTCATGTTGTTTCAATGCAATAGTGATCGTTGTGCTGTATGTACACACAGAAAAACATATTGTGATTAATAATCATCTTGCGACAATCTCGGATACAAGTCTTCGAAACAAATAAGAAATATGATTTAAAGTGAGTTAAATATTTCTATCACTTACATAAGTTTATGTTATCAGCAATAACTTTTCGAACATTCTCAATGACCTTTCAGCGTGGAAGATATTTTTAAACTCTTCGTAGTTATACTTCATTCGTATACAAAATGTGCATTGTCTTACATTAGAATCATTTATTAATTATCAATCTTACTGAGCACATCTCTATGTGCAACAAAACTAAACAGTAGCAATTATACAAAATACTACAAGACGACACAAGCGATGATAGGAAAGTTACTGCTAGTTCGATTGAATTTATTTCAGCCTGAAAAACCCTAATTTTCTTAGCATTAACATATTTTTAATTAATATGAAGTGAATTAGAACATCTGAAAAGTAATAATTTCACTACATCATTCAAACTGCTACGACTAAGCTGACTTTAAAATTAAAAAAATGACCCGACTATTTGATTTTGATCAGTTTTCATTATGCTCATAAATAAAATAGATTCATCAGTGTGCCGTAGAAAGATCGAAAGGGAAAATGTCGAAAGAAAGAATATCGAAAATTTGCACTAAGATGCTTTTATTCTTGAAATCATAATAGCATCATAGCATAAATCATAGATAAATAAGAGTTATAAAGACAGATACAAATATCCAATATTTACTAGTTGTTGTTGTTTTATTCAGTTTGAGAATATATTTATCTGATACAAGGAAAGGTTTTCCTTTTTACGACTGAATAAATGAAATAACTGGAGTTGGCGGATGATTCTCACCAGATAAAAATGAGCAAGCTGTAGTCATCATGATAGAATTTTAATCGTTGTATACTATTTTACGCCTATTTTAGCTAGCTTTCATAAGATATTACTTATCAATAGTATCAATGGTTAACAGTGTCAAACCAATGGAATAATCAGATTAACAACAATGAACAATAAACTATTAGAACCTTCATTTAGTTGAGATATCGCTTTTTTCTATCTTTTCTGTTTTCGACATCTTTCCTTTTCGATATTTTTCCCTTTCGGCCTTTCTATGGCCAACCGATTCATCAATGTGGTACTTTAATGTGATCATTAAAGCTTTATCGTGTCATTCTCATTTTTCGGTTTCGTTGTTAATGATATAATCGGAACTTCAAGTTAGCATACTCATTTCTAATAAATAATAATTCTACAATCTGATGAATTTTGCATGTACATAGATTCTCGATTGAAACTACATTGCAAAATGACTTTCCAGTTATCTCTATTATCGAGAATTGTTTTGATTTGATTTACAAATAGAAATGCATGAAAAACACAACATTTGTTATCAAATGATGTACATAAATACATCTCAATTCAATTTTCATGTATAATCAATTAGATATTCTGATGTAGTACAAGAAGAGATTCTTATGAGAGAGTTAAAAGACAATTCGGTCTAAACTCAAATGATACACTGGAAATCTATGTAATAGGCGTGGAAGAACGAAAATGAAGTATTTTTCAATTGAAAATGCACAATACATTATTTAGTTTAATGTGTCGATATTGATCATTGATAAAGAAGATTGCTGATTAAGAAAGAATCCATCGAAAATTGCATTTCACAACAACAACTGGAATCTTCTACTTCTTCAGAAGATTCAATTAAAAAACAGAAACTCGTGTTTTTCTCAGAATATTTCAATAATTTGACAGAATAATAAGTTTTCTACAGGGAACGATCAATCCCATGGTATATGTCCTTCCTATTATAAATGCATTATATTATCAACCCTAAGTTTCAATTTCGATAGATAACAGAAACATACGAGAGTCAATAAAATCGTCGAAAATTTACGCCGAACGACGCCTTTTTTCTCGTTCTCTTATAATATTCGTGAGGTTAATTTTATCATGCATATTCTTATTTCATTAAAAAGAAATGTAAAAGATGATAACGATAAGCTTTATGGCTACATAAGAGTTGAATTCAAAAAAAAATTATACAAACCTTTAGCTACTCTTTCTGTTTGATGCAAAATCATTTTTGAAACAAAACTTATGCCTTTAAAAGCAGTACTATATAGCTCTTTTTAACTTGCCTTGTTATGAATAGGATCTGATAAACCTCCAAGGAATTTGATAAAGAAAACTTTAAAAGTGTTAAGTATTCTCATGGAGCTAGAAACTAATGTATTATTAAACGGCAATTCTCAATGTATTTCGATAATTTGCAAGAGCATTCTCGATTTCAAGAAACTTTGACATGAAGCAGAGAAAACGGCACGAGTACTGCTATTGAAAAGAAGCTACATTAGGAGAACAACATTTTTTTTCATTAAACATTGCAGTTTACAAAAAACTCATTAGAATAGTCGGATGTTCTAACTTGTATTCATTCATTCACTCATTTAATTAATTCTTTTCATTATTTCGATTAACAATCACTCGGCTATCATGTTCAACTGGCACTACGAAGAATTAATTCTGATTTGCAATCAATTCATGTCGAGAAAAATTTGAAAGTTGTTTTCTTTTCATTCATGTATGCAATTGTTTTTATTTGTGGGAAAGAGCATGATATTATTTACTCTCTTTCATCACGTCAATGATAGTTAAGAATGACACGAATTCACAAAAAAAACAATACAAGTTTTTCAAAATGCACACGAATATATAAAAATGTTGATATCATTCTTTCCAAGCTATTTCCTTTCTGTTATTTTCTCGTCGCGCAAACATAACATTAACATAACAAAACAGTGAACAACTGATTAACAACAAACAGCCAACAATAGAAATAGATGATGACAAAAAAAGTGATTGCAGATTTTTCTTTTCTATTAGGCATTTTTGCACCCAGTTATACAAACACACCCATGTATTTAAATGTGGAAAAAAATTGAGAAAAAGATAAGCGTAGTTGATGATGATTTTTGTTTTTCTTTTTTTAAATGACAGATGGAAAAACGTTTGGATGGTTGATAGATTATTTACTTTTTACCACCTTTGGCGGCTGCAGCTACTGGTTTGCCACCTTTGGCTGTTGATATAGCTTTCTTTTCGACATCCTTGATGACACCGACAGCAACGGTTTGACGCATATCACGAACGGCAAATCGACCCAATGGCGGGAAATCAGCGAATTTTTCGACACACATTGGTTTCGATGGAATCATTCTAACCATAGCAGCTTCTCCTGATTTGAGGAATTTTGGTGCTTCTTCAATTACTTTACCCGTTCGACGATCGACTTTTTCGAGTAATTCGGCGAATTTGCAAGCAATGTGAGCTGTGTGACAATCAAGGACTGGAGCGTAACCAGCACCGATTTGACCGGGGTGATTAAGAACGATAACCTAAAATTAATATACAAATATAAGTAAGATTTCAAATGGATCATAATTAATCTTACTTGAGCAACGAAAGTTGCTGTTTCTTGAGCTGGATCATTTTTAATATCAGAAGCTACGAAACCACGACGAAGTTCTTTAACACTGATGTTTTTAACGTTGAAACCAACATTGTCACCTGGTCCGGCTTCTACAATAATCAAACAAGTTTGTTTTAGTAACACATGTTGTAATCGAACGCAAAATCTATTTTACCTTGAAGAGCTTCATGATGCATTTCAATTGATTTTACTTCAGTTTGTAAGTTAGATGGGGCGAAACTGACAACCATGTTTGGTTTGAGAACACCAGTTTCAACACGACCAACAGGTACTGTACCAATACCACCGATTTTGTAAACATCTTGTAATGGTAATCGGAGTGGTTTGTCAGTTGGTCGAGATGGTGCAAGAATAGCATCGAGGGCTTCCAAAAGCGTTTTACCACTGGCATTACCTTCCTTTCGTTCGATTGTCCAACCTTTGTACCATGGCATTTTTTCTGTTGGCTCAATCATGTTATCACCGTGCCAGCCTGAGATTGGTACGAATGGAACACCTTGTGAGGCATAACCGATCTTTTTGATGTAAGCCGATACTTCAGTTTTGATTTCTTCGAAACGCTTGTCTGAGTATGGTGGTTCAGTTGTATCCATTTTGTTGACAGCAACGATCATTTGTTTGACACCCAAAGTATAGGCAAGTAAAGCATGTTCACGAGTTTGACCGTTCTTTGAGATACCAGCTTCGAATTCACCAGTGCCAGCAGCAACGACTAAGACAGCGCAATCAGCCTTTGAAGAAATAGATCATAGACTTGAAAATATTTTTATAGGAAAAATTCTTGATAACATACTTGTGATGTACCAGTGATCATGTTTTTGATGAAATCACGATGGCCTGGAGCGTCGATGATGGTAACGTAGTATTTCGCTGTTTCGAATTTCCAGAGTGAGATATCAATCGTAATACCACGTTCACGTTCAGCTTTCAATTTATCCAAAACCCAAGCATATTTGAATGAACCTTTGCCCATCTAAACAAACCGAACAGAACGTGGTTAGAAAAAAAAATTTAGTTCTGCACAAGAAAAAAAAATACATACTTCAGCAGCTTCCTTTTCGAATTTTTCGATTGTTCGTTTATCGATACCACCACATTTGTAGATCAAATGACCAGTTGATGTTGATTTACCTGAATCGACATGGCCAATGACGACAATGTTAATATGAATTTTTTCTTTTCCCATTGTAATGGATCACTAAGTGATATTTATTAACGGATGGTAGAAAGATGATCTAGAATGGAACACAAAACGTATAGTAACAAACCGTGGTAGGAAGTATGTTGATAAAGTAAACAAAATAAATTTCATGTGTAAATAAAATAAACTTAAAGAGCTTTTCTTCTGAAGTGTCGCATAAAAATTCACTTGATCCGATGGAAGACAATGTACCTAACTGTGGGTAAAATTAAGGTGCGGGATATAAAAATCGAAACAAAATAAAAGGGAAGATCGAATCATATATTACAAAGAAAATGCAATGTAACCATCTGTTGTTGTTGTGCTCCTCTGTCTCTACACGTAAGCATCGTATTCTATCCACCATATTTTAACTAGCTATTTGCGTTTGTTCTATGACCTTCTCGAACGGTGCGTTGTATCCGACAGAATAAGTATATCGAAGAAGAATCGACGTTTACGTAGAGGTTCGTATACATATATTGAACTAGATAAGTTCAACTTTTTTTTCTCAGTGAATCCTTTAAAAAATTTTACAAAATCATTTAATTTCGAGAAATTTTTAATAAATTATTTTTTCTCTTTATAACAGTAGTGCGAAGAAAGCGACACTAGCGCCAGATGGGCTGTTTAAAAAGCAGACCGAATATACATGTTATCTAACAAAATGAGTCATACGATAACGAGTAAATTAGTAATCAGTGATATAACGAAACAGTTCATGCTCCAAAGTCCAAAAGCCAGGTACTTTTTCTATACATGAATGAATGAAGAGAGTATTTCTTTGTATAAATATTATATAGCAAAAAAAAAGAAAAATAAACGCAACAGTTTATAGTTTATTTGACATCAGATGAATAGAGTACTCGATTGACGTATGATAAATCTAAATCAGAGACTGGTGGAATTGCATCTGTAGTAGAATGTTTTGAAAGATCTCTCTTTCTTGTATGACGATCTAAATTAACGAAAAATATTTGCTCTTTCTCATATCTTTTTGTGCACTTTTATTACTGACCACGTATTAATTTCATACTATCTAATGATGGTACAGATAAGCTATTCACTAAACAATTGCCAAGAACAATACTAATTAAGAATGTGACGACTCCAATAGCTATTGCAATAGACCAATATCTAAATTAAGATTCGATAGAACAGATGATTATCAAAAGTTGATTTTCGATACTTATGAGGATAATATGTAATACCAATATTTTCAAACCAATTATTTGGTAAATAAGCCCAGAGTAAATAAATTACTATTAGAAGGAAAAAAATATAATAAAAATAATTTCAAGTACATGATACTGACCGAATGCAAAAATAGATGTAACATACAGAAAAAAACCAATAATCGCTCGTTCCGGTCGAGGTGATGGCGATGGAGCAGTAGACATCTGCAATTGAAATATTGATATATTTTACATGTTTGATATTCAGTTTATGTTTGTCACTACTGCATACAAAACTAGATCTACAAGTAATTAAATTGCTTTGAAATATACGTATTTTTTCCCTTTATTAGATCGATGAAATGAAAACAAGCGTTTTTCTAATGAGTATCTTTGATATTGTTGGCCTCTATCTTCGTTTCATATATAATAAGAGTTGAACAACATGACATATGAAATCTAGTATCAAGACTTATCTTCAACGTGGCCTGGATTGTTTCGCATGTATGAGAAAATTTCCTCACATGTTAGTATCTAGTTTTAATAAATTTTTTTCTCTAGATCCCTCGTAGTTCTCTCACAAATTGTTTTAGAAGATATAGTTTGTTCACAAGACTTGATCAGTATATGCAAATTGTAATGAATATATATATATATTTTTTAACTCTTCTCTGAGATGTAGGTTTCTCTGAAAACGTTATGTTGAAGTTTTGATCCGAAACTCTGTATATATAGAAAAATTAACTAGATTAAATTTTGTCTGTTCTCAAATAATTAGTTAGAACATCGATGCTTTAATATATTTGATAGAAACACATAAGTTCAATATACATTTCTAGTAGAGGACAATCGCACTAGTTACTCTGCAGTTTACAGTAGGTCTCTCGTTGCAATTGATTGTGCTTGAAACACAATATATCCATCTGAAAATAATACGTGAAATATATTAAGTTTAACTATGTTAGTTGCAAACAAAACTATCATATTGGATCGTAAATTCTATTCAGTACTCTTTATATCTCATTTTTGACAATAGTGCATGACTCACATGAAATTATTATCAATTATAAACCTAGACATATCTGCTATACATTCATCTTTCTCTAAGCTTAACTTTCAAATCGATTAGGGACTATTTACTAAGTCTGATACTAATCTTCAACCTACCGATATCGATTAGTTGCTATTAAAATAAAACAAAACACAACAAAACAACCGAATAAATTCTAAAAACAAATTTATTTGACTAACTCTTTTATTAATTTTCTATAGAAATAACAAAAAAAAACGCTGAACAAACTGTCCATATATTTATGCAAATAAAGCCGATTGATATAAAAAGAAATATTTTAAATTTAATTAAAAAAACTGACAACAAAAAAAACCTGCTAATCATTTTCTTTATTAGTATCTCTTTTATTCCATTTCATATATACAAAAGAGGAAAAAGATGACCACAAATTATGACAACACGAAATTCATGGACAAAAAAGCCAAAACTAGTTTTGATTGCATGATAAAAAACAAAAACCAAAAAAGACAGATATTTATAAATATACGATAATAGTAAAGCAAAAAAAGAAAAATATATTTCGGAAAAAAATATATAAATATAAGATTTTTTATTTTATGCATAACCACTTGGTTTCCAGTTAGCATTTACAAATTCCATTCCATGTCCCATTGCTGCTTTAACGTCTGTAATAAAGAAAAATTATTATTTCTGTTAAAAATCTCGATCGAATTCTTACCATCGAGACTTGGTGGTGGTTCATTTGTTTTTCGTAATAATAAACGTACATTAAAACCTCCGTCTCGAATTAATGAGATTGCTTCAACATGTGTCATTCCATAGGCTGATCGGCCATTTATTTCAATGATTTGATCACCCGCCTAACAAAAGCAAACTACAATAGAAACAAAACCGAATAGAAAAACAAAACGTACTGTCATGCAGCCATCGTTTTCTGCTAAACCATTCGCAGCTAATTTTAATATAAATAATGGAAGCGAAAATTCTCGACCACCACGAATACTAAAGCCAAAACTTGAATTTGCATGTGTTCGTTGAAGATTAACAAGAAAATAATCCTCAGATATTGACGGCTAAATAATAGAGAAATTTATCGGACTGCATTTTGATTCAAAATATATTTACAGATTTTAATATGCCATTTAATTTTGATGGAGGTCGAGTTTGATTTCTAGATTACAAAATAAATATATTTGACAAGCAATGAAATATGATCAATACTTTTCAGGCATGCTGAGTGGATTATATGAAACTGCATTTCTTAGTGCTTGATGACTTTGATTAGGAACAATCATGGGTGATGACGATAACGATGGTCGAATACCATTTGATGAGTTTTGCATTTCGGCAACTGGATCATCTTTTCAAAAAAGACAAGTCAAATTGCCATAAAAACAAGAAAAAATATCTACCATAATGAATAGGTGATCCAATTGTAAGTGTTATAGTGCGGCCTGATTGTTTGATTAAATTAACTACATCTGTATGAAGCATATAAGATAGATCAACACCATTTACAGCTAATATATGATCGTTCACGTGAAGTTGACCGCATTGATCGGCAGGACTATTTCGAATTATTTTACCTGAAATGAATTTTAATTTTAAATAATATAGGTTTTATTTTTAATAATACCATGTAAAAATTTAATTTCTGCTGACAAACAAGATCAAAAATGTTCTTTTTTTATCCATCAACTTGAATTTTTTACATAAGAACATGTTTTCGTACTATTTAATAAGGATACTACCGATATTTTAAATATTAATTAGAGAAAAATCTCTACTATGAATTAATTTACAATTCTAAGAATATAAACCGCAATTGAAAAATTTTTCTGAATAAAGCTTATCTCAATTTTTGATATATTTAATACGAGCTCGATCTTTAGGGATAATGTTGAAGAATATCATTAGATTCATAATTTATGATATTGAATTTTCTATGAAGAAAATTATTACCATGGAAATTCCCCATTGTCTGAGACGTACTTATAACTAGAGTTTTGTAATTTCATATTCGATCTCTGAACTCAAATCATTTTAGCATACCATTTAATTTCATCATGGATTTATTTCGTTTAAATATTTATAACCAAGGGAGTCTTAAAAACTAATTCTGTTAACTTATTTCATCAAATCTAATCATGCAATATTAATTTTTCCCTCTAGCCAATTATATCTAATCTATACAACAAGACTAAATAATGAGAAAAGAAAGTTTTTTTTTCATGCATTCATGCGTATATGTCTAACCTATCCATATTCTACAATTATTCTTGTGTTCCATTTGTTCCTGAGAATTCTCTGCATTGACATCTTCTTATGTACAATGAGAGAAGAAAACTAAATAAATAAACGTTTAGAAATATATCATCCTTACCAACAAGGCTCCCAATTTTATTCTGTGATGAAATAATAACAAAGCCAAAACTTTCATTTTCATTTGTTTTTTGTAATGTTACATGACGTATTTCATTGTTTATCGGCGATTTCCTTTGAGAATTTTCACGATATATAGAATGTGAATCAAGTTTTGGTTGACGATAAGAATTGTTTCTATTATGCAGTTGTGTATAACGACGTACGATTAAACAAACATGTCGTTTTTCTTTTGCGCGTTGCATGAGTTGGACAACCTTTTCATGTGAAGCACGTATTGTAGAATGACTATCGATTTTGACTATTTCATCACCAATATAAAGACGACCATCCATTTCTGCTGGCGAATTAGGAACAATATGACCAATAGTTACTTGAGATTTCTCTTCTTCACCACCTATTATACGTAAACCAAAGCCATCACTATTTAAAAAAAATAAAGCGAATTCATTTTTTTGTCGTGTGTCGACAATAGGAATGAATATAATTATTACGTTGGACGTAAAATAGTTAGATCAACAACTATTTCGCAATATTGTTGATGAACAGATTGCAATGATCGACTAGAAGTAAAATAAACAGAAATAAAGAAAAAAAAAAGATTCGTTTTATTTCATTATCAAACCTATTATGTAAAGTACTTGGAGAAAATTCATAAGCTGTTGGAGTTTTACTTCTCGGTTTCATTGTATTTGCACGATAGGATGGTGATGTTGTTGCTGCACCAAATTCAGGTCCCGGAGTTTTACTACGTAATGTTGGTGCATTCATTGGTCGTGTATTGCGTACATTACTTGAGAAAGGTCTTTGTTGCTCAAATGTATACATTGGATCAGAGGAAAATTCTGTTTGAGCTATGGGCGCTTGTCTTTCAGTAGTATTTGAAGTAGAAAAATTTATATTATTATTTGTTGTTTTGCCTGGTATAGGTGTTCGAGAACGAAGTGGAAGTGTATCAGCTATAGATGCAGAACCGAATGGCGTCGGAGTTTTACTACGAGGTTTTTCTAAATATTTTCAATTAATTAGAATATAAAAAAAACTTTCGATAAGAACTTTTTTACCATTTGTTTTTTGTGGATGATAACGAAGATCAATTTCATCATTCTCCTGAAATTTAAATATTTACTTCTTTAATTTAATATACTACATGTATTATTAAAAACATTTTTGTTACACTAGTCACTGCTGTTAAAGCATGCACCCAATATGTATTTTTATCAATTGCGTGTTTAGTTCGCTTCGTAAGAATCTATTTGTTTAATAAAGCCCCCTCAACAAAAAAAAAGGTTAAGTGTGTTAAAAATTGAAAACAGAGAGAAATGCATAAAAAAAACATAGCCTACTGTCTCGACCTTAAAAGCTAACATGTCTTTTTACTTACCATTAGTTTTATTTAAAATTTTTGTGATTTTATGTTGAAAAAATGATTTGATTATTCAACTTTATCTCATTTTATGGTGTTTTTTTTGATCGCACAACATTCCAGAATTCTTCAACGAGATTTATTGTAACTGATGACTTCTTGTTGTTTGCAAAAGCGTGTCACGATGCTGGACATAATAGAATACCTTTTTTTTTAGCTTTTAATCTATTTTTCCATACTATTATATAGAGAAATACGTCGATAATTGGGACATCATTTTGTCGTAACATATCACTATTTTATATGCCTTAAAACTAAGAATTTAAGAAAAAGCTCTGTTACAATTGATCTTCTACAAGCTGAAAGCTTCAAAAACACGAAAATTATAATAAAATTTAAATTCCAAATAATGGATCTATTTCTACTCTGGTCTATTTAAAATCCTTTACTAGTTGCATAAGTCGATGTTCGAACGAAGCATAATCTCAACAAAAAGAAAAGTAATTATACAAGAGAGAAAACATATCATCGAGTAATTCGAATTAAAAAAAGTAAAAGATTTTACATAGTAATTTTGATCAGAAAGTATCATCGAATTTATAATTAATTTCCCCTGTTGTCCTTCTCAAAGCAAAACAGATTATTTATTTTTTTTGAGAACCAGTTGTTGTCATCTTTGACAGTCAACAGGTATCATAATATTAATAGAGCATATTTGATTTATGAGAAATCTTAAACATATAAATCAAAAATAGAATTAATGATATATAAGAAATGTTCTGACATCTTCATTTTTACATCTATAAAATTCAGCTTAATAAAAGTCATATTGACATTAATCATTTAGATTCGTCGAGCTCTATTAATAATGCTGGGTCATCTCACGCAAATAGTCGTATTAAGCACAGGAATTTATCTTGAATCAAGTGCAAATTACTTATGACAACAATAACAGCACCTTTACTTGTACACCCATGAAAAAGCCTTAACTTAAGAAAAGCTATATTTTACTGTATAACCATTTCTAAAGTGTACACGAACATGAGAAAAAATGCATTTCTGTTAGTACGAGTACATTACAACACGGAATCATGCATACATATATATATATATATATATATATAAATGTATGTATACATCATTAGAACATGAATTATAAAGGTAAAGAAATATACATGCAAGGAAGAGATTTTTAATTAAAATGTGATCACCTTATTCTCTTTATTGTTTGTCAAAAACGAAACATGCTTTCCGGTGGTGATTGATCGATTATTAGACTATAGATAAATATATTTTGTGTTTTTTTTTCGTTTTTTTCCAAACATACATTCAATAAACCTTTTTATTCTTTTATTAATTCATACCTGAACATTTTTATCTACATGATCATGAGCATTGACGATCAATGGATTATGATTAAGATCGGGATCACCTAGACAAACAAAAATAGAAGATAAACCATTTTTAAATAGAAATTCTCATGCAACAAAAAACAATAATAATAACAAGAAGTCAATAATATACCTCCTTTTGGTTCTTTACTAACACGAAACTTCAACATGTTATTAATCTTTTTTCTACACACGATCTACTTTCAGAATGAATTAATAATACTCCCATAATAGTTAGAGAGAAGAGAATGCTCTCTACTATCAAACCAAAAACAACAGTCATCGTGATTCTCATTTTTTTTCTTCTTCTGTTGTTGCCATTGGTGGGTGGTATATAACGAATATTACATTCGATTTTTTAACTTCTTTTCATAAATATTATTGGACAGAAGCTCTTTTTTCAATATTTATTTTCAGAACACATGGTATTTCAAACATGAGGATATTAGAAACTTAGAGTCTATACAAAATAAATGTAGACCACATTTCACTCAATATCTTACTTTCATTCTGGGAATTTTCTCAATCTCGGCTAAGTAACAATTTCCAATCTAACTATTCTTTTCAGATCTTATTGAAGACGAATCTAATATTTGAATAAATTAGAATATTGTCGAATTTTTTTGTTCGCTTACAGGGAGAAAGTGTGTGTAGGAAGAAAAAAAAATTTAAATCTAGTTCTATGAAAAATACTGTCAGAACAGAAGAAATTCTTCTTGTCTCTTATCTCTATGTTCTATAAAACTATTTTAATTTCAATATAATTTGATTCTGATAATTCTTCACTAATTGAACAAAGAAAAATGATGCTAGAAAAGTATGATATAAATTTAATATATCACAAACTTCTCTATTAAAAGTTTGATTTTTATAGATAATACATTGACATTAATTATTCTAGTAAATGATTTGTAAGATCAAGTTCCATTTTCAAGTATGCAAAACAGTTATCTATGAAGACTCAATATTTATGATAATAATCAATTCGGCCGTATACGAAAGATTAGTGAATTTGTAGAAATTTCTATTATTTTCCTTAATTTCATTAAATATATCAATTTTTACTATTCAAAAAACAAATGCATAACTACTTGTACAGGTGAAGAATTTTTTTAGATTTAGAGATACAATAGATTTTCAATGCATAAACTAAACTAAACTAAACTAAACGTTGTACCATTGAATTATTAAAAAATAAAAACCAGAGTCCTATTTATTTGCTTTCGTTCTCAACTTCAATAGTGATTTGTAACAAGAAGGTAACAAATAGGATTAATGAATCATGCCTACAAAATTATTTTATGTAAGAAAAGAATTTAGCGTACATATTGTACATTAACTATAGGCTAAAACTCTCAAAGAAATTCGTAATAGTAACGGAATTTAACAGCATTGTATAATGATAGAAAATTTAACGTACTCGATAGTCTATTAGAAAACGGTTAAACAAGAGCATAACAATATCTATCAATTTTAATTAATTAGTTAAAATAAATAGATTTTATTCACTACTAAAGGGAAAACAACAATTGTACGTCTTTCGTCATGAATTGCTAATCATTTTTTCGATCTGAAATTCGTCAAATATTTTATTTATTTGATCTCCTAGCAAAAATCAATCAGAAGATGCTGTAATAATTGAATTTTTTGCATATTTTATTTACGAGAGAAATTGTCTTCTTAAAAAATATTGATCTGAAGTAGAATTTAAATTATTTAAATTCCCTTCTGTTACGGTCCCACGAGAATATAGAGCAAAGAAAATTTTCTTACTACTCCCATATTAATCGGCAACATTTGTTCTTTATCAGTTATATTAAAAAGAATAATAATTTGAGCAATCAAACGAAAAAACAATTCTGCAATTGTGTTATTTTCTTCATTCGATCTGTTTTTATTCAACTTAAACTTCAGGCGCACTAATGTTTTTATACTCATAGCAGGGATCCGCTAATAATGTCAATCTATAATAGATAGAACAATATTGTAATATAATACATTTCATAATGTGACATATAAAGGCTTCAAAAAAATTTCAACTTGACACATAATATGTTTAACAGCAGAATAGAATTTACAAAGACTTTGATTTTCTAAATAAATTACCTCTGCGAACAACAAACGTGGTTTCCATATCTTTTGGACACTTATTAAGTATATCAACAATGGCGGCATGTAGTTTACCAGATAGATCTTGTTCATTAATTGATAATAGTAAATCGCTTTCACATAAATTTTGACAGCGTTGTTTATCAACAATTGATTTAACTCGTTGTCCAACGGGACTATCAGCAATCGTAAAACCAAAACCTTGATTACCTTTTTGGAGTTTAATTGTATATATATTTGAATGATTTTCTGGTTGATATTCTCTGTAACCACCATTGGGTAAATGATGAACACCATTCAGTGAAACAAGATCAATTTGTGGATCATTCAAATTTACCGTCAGTGGATAACCACGGCACACAGTTAAATCAATTGTATCACCTACTGATAATGATTTAAATATTTTAGCAAGATCTGTATGACTATAACCCAAAACATATGCATCATTGATATAAACGAGAATATCACCTCGTTGAAGTTTTCCACTTTGTGCTGCTGGTCCATCAGGTAGAATATCATTGACTTGAAGAAATTGTTCATTGTTTTCATTACCATCAATAATTGTGAAACCAAAACCTTGTTGACTTTTTTTCAATGAACATTTAATTAATTCTCCTGACAAATTTTGATATGCATTTTCATTTGAACTATTGAAAAATTCTGGATCATTATGTTGAAACATTCCGTTAGCTGAATTACTTCGTCGTACAAGATTAGTATTAGTCATAACTGCTCCTTTTGGTGGACGTGGAGTACCATAATAATGACCTTTATTTAGAAGAAAAAAAAACACAAATTTTACTGATTTGTTTATTAAAATAGCACTGAAAAGAAAGGTCAATACAAACCTTTGTACACTCCACTTTCAAGTAGTTTGCCACTTTTTTCTAATGCATGAAAATCTTTTACGCTTAAAAATGTATAATCTTGTCCATTAATTTCGCCTGGTCGTTGTGGACGTGTGGTGCCTAAAGACAAAAGGAAAGAAGAAAAATAACATTTTTTTTTCTATTTCGATGATCAATTTTAGACAAGAATTATTTACAGGGTACTGTTGTCATGTAAAGATTATCACGGATTGTTTGTTGAAGATCATGATCAATTGAATTCTTTTCAAAGCGCCCATCAAGAAATTGACGAAGATCCTTGGTTAAGCCTGTTAACAAATATATATATATATATTTAATCAATGAAAGACGAATAAATGAATCTTTTTATATGTAACACAAAAAAAGAACAATCGAAAAAACATATTTTGGCTCAACCTTGTAATTCATCGAATATAAGGTTATTATTCGTTGTTGTACTTCCTACATTTGGATATATTAATGATAAATTATCATATGATGAATGAATCATAATGTTGTCGTTTGATAGCATTTTACTTGTCAAATATTACCAAAGAAACAAATAAATATATTTATATTTTACTGATGAGAATAAGTAATAATAACTCAAACAGCCTAACTGAATATGTATGTATATCTATGGATGTATTCAATAGAAATAATAATAGTATAAATGATGCAACGAACCCACTCGTGCGACGACAATATCGACAAAAATCAAATAGAAGAAGAAAGAATAGATGAGGGGAAAAAGAGAAATAACGGTATGTCTGCTATGATGGCACGCAGCTAACATCAGCAGGCCATTGTTCTGTCAACGACGTGTTTACATGGTCAGCCATCGACGTTTGATTATTGTTCTTTTAGTGTTGATAAGACAAGACAAGACAAGACAAGACAAGATGCAGAATTGCTAAGTTCAATCCGCCAACAGTAAGATTGCGACTAGTCTGAACGCAGCATGTCATGATGAAACATAAACAAACGTCATTGATCGACACAGACGATAATAGTCAGTCATTCGTTTATTTCTAGGAGAGCTTGAACAACTTGAATTGACAACAAAGAGAGAGAAACAATGAGTACGCATTAAAACAACTATCAGAGTATATATATATATATAAATAGTTTTTCCCGTTTGCTTACGTTCTCAAGATCATACTATAAAGATAATAGTAAACGAATCTCTTTTATTTTCTCATCTGTCTCCATTAGTGATGATGGCATACCACTTGAGTACCATTTTCCGTGCCTTTCGTCGTTTTTCTTTTTGTTCTTTTCTATAGTGTCCTCGGTTTTATTCACAGCCGATCGAGTCATTTGAGAAAGAAGGACAACGAAATATGAAAGTGATCGTTCTATGAGAGTAGTATTAATTCCATCCGGTTGTCAATATTCAACGAGAGTGTGTCCTTCTTACAACTGTTTTTCTTTTTTAACTAATACATTCAAGAACAAGCGGAAAAAATAACTTAGTCATCCCATTGAGATATCATCAATGAGTAAATTAAAAGAAGCTTAAAGTATATATGACGTCATGTCTTATAACAATCAACGAATGAATCAACTATTGATCTAACTATTAACAAAGAAAAGAATCTTAATTACCCGTAAAAAAAAGACAAATAGCAGCTGCACTTATAGATTGTTAATCTTTCATTTCAACGATGAGTATTTATCAAAGACAAGTTAATCGATTGACACTGATGTAAGATATTGACCGACTTGAAGTTTTTTTTTTCTGTTTTTTCTTTTTCTTGTATGATTGGCAGAAGAAATGATGCCCGAGAGAGAACAATCTATTCTTTTAAACGACTAATGTGGTTTAAGTGAACACTAGCCTAATTAAATAATGTTTAATTTCCCTTCGAGTACTATGTAAATCGTTCGTATGAACATCAGAAGAAGAAGAGAAAAAAAGTCATGCATACCCGATCTAACAGTTTTCAATTTAATTTGTTTTCCATTTATTGAAAGTGTTTCAATAAGTAATTGAACATCGGCTAATGTATAACCAGCAATTTTGTGCTGGTCGATTTTAAGAATAATTTCATCGAAATCAATTTTACCACCTTTTAATATTGTTGTTGATGTTTTATTTTTTAATAAAGATATAGGTTCAATAAAATAAACAAGTTGTCCATTGTCAGCACCGCCTGCTAAAGGCAGTTGAATTGAATGATTATTATCATTTGAGATTAATATCGTTTCTTGAGAAGTTTGTGACCAATGTTTTACAGGTAATATTGGTGGAGATGTTAGTGCTAAATGAGTTGGTGACAGATGAGGTTTTATTGTACTAAATGTTGATGTCATTAATTAGTATACAATAACATGATCTATTAAAAATGAGATAGTTTTATTGTTGATTGTGAAGATCATTTCTCTTCCAATTGAATAATATACACTATACAATTTGTAGCATAGCCACCAGTTTCACTAGTAGTTAACATCTGAAAGTGATGATTGCAATGTCAATATTTGTTTTTTTTCAAGATTGAAAGAACAATATGAATTTTTTTTTATTATACAATAAAAATGGTACCAAAGAAAAAATGAGAAAAAAATCCCATCAACACTACTTTCATAAAAAAAAGGAGAGAAAGAATAAATTGTGAACTATGCAAACACATTTTACTTCAACCTTGACATGATCGTGTCGACAAAATAATTTTTTGATAGAAGCATCATATGCATACATGTGTACTTACTATAGAGACAAATGGAACATAAATGACACGACGCATGGTTAGAAAATAAACGACCAAATATGTTTATTGATGTGCCATTCTAGAGCAAAAACAAAGTATGATTGTACTCACACTAGAACACGATCAGTTCCTTTATTTTTAGTTTTCTTTTTCTTTCATACGCAATTCATCATAATAGTACATCAACAATAGATGATAAGCATCTGAAAATCGAGCTTCGAACAACAGCTATCGTTTTGAAACTACACCATTCTCCATCAATATGTTGATGCGTACAACAATAGATACGCATTTTTCTCATCTTGTGTCTTTTGTCTTTCTTATTCGCTATAACATTCGATCGATGTTAGTTACATCTATGTATAAACAAGTGTAATCATGTTAACACATCAGCACTTTTTTCTGTTATGCTTGTTCATGCAACAAGTCTTAATGATGCCTATTTTTATTCTTTTGTTTCTCAAGAGATTGGAAAAAGAAACAAAAAGTATACTTAGGACGTCAATATAACAAACCTTAACAAGAAAAACTAATATAAATTGTCGAAGGCGAAGTGAATTTCTCATGATAATTCTTCGCACAAAACAACTATGAAATAATTCATGTTGTTTCTTGCATAGTCGTTAGTATGAAATGGATGAATACTTCTCTGATGATCTAGAACGGAAAAATAGAAAAAAATGATTTAGTCAATGAAGAATTCATCTATCTTTTGTTTAATATGTGTCTATTGATTTGTTGTTCAATCACCAACGCAAATAGAAGAGATTTACTATCGATAAGCATAGACAACAAGCGAACGAGAAGATTATAAAGTGTATTTTTTCTTCATATACGAAATCGAACGGGGAAAAACAAATAGAGAAATGATTATTTTTTTTGCATAGTTTTTGCCATGAAAATTTTCTTTTTTTAATTTGATCAATGTAAACGAAAATAAATGAGCAAAAGAAAAAGAAGACGTTGTAGCTATATGTAACAATAGAATGAACGAAACTATACAATAAAAACAAATAAATAAATGAATAAGTATCACTGCAGAAAAAAAAACAGCTCGAAAAAAAAAATGACGCAAACAAAAACTAATCATCAGAAAATATTATGCATTCGGAAGACATAGCTGAAATTAATAGAAATTAATTAAGAAAGAGAAGAAAGACATGTTAGTATGCTAGCAATGAAATATTTCATTTTCATATCAAATCATAATATATGCCCATCTTTGGATCGTAGAAACGTTCGAGTGTTGCATCATAACATAAATGCATTGAATCATTATTGATCATAGGTTGAAGTGGCTCATCATATTCATCAATTGAGGTTTGTTTTTTAATCATACCTGTTGAATTCAATTTAAATGACAAACATGACTCAGCATCTGTACTAGTCCCTCCCATAGTATTATTATTATCAGAAACGATCGTTGTCAATAATTTTGGTATTCGAGCATTAGCACTTGAACGCATTTCTAATAGATAATTTTTCCGAATATCTTTTTTTGCTGCTAACTCTTTAGCAACGTTAATTGTACGTGGCGATAATTTAAATGTTCCTGTCTCAATTAGACTAGGAGCCACATATTCGTATCTACTTGCATCGAATGTGCTTGTCGATTGAGTTTGTGTTGAAACTTCACCTGGACTACATTCATTTTGTAAGTTCATCTCAGCTAGAACAGCAAGTAATTGGAATGAATCCACCATATCAGCTTCCACATTATCTGATGATTGAGAACTCCGCAATGAATTTAAAACTTTAGTATCTGCAGGTGAAGATCCGTTTGAATTATTTGAACGAATAATTGGACTTCCTCGTATTTCTACTGGATTATTGGCAGATATTGGCGATGAGGTTTGCATGCTCCGTGGTGATAAATCATGACACAATAAAATAGCGCTTCTTTGTTCTTGAACAAGTTCAGGAACTTTAAATTTCTCTTGTTCTTTTAAACGATCTTTTAACGACTCTATTTGTTGTTCATTACGTTTTAAAACATAATTGCTTCTTATAGAATGAGTATTTTTCTTGTCATAGTCATCATCATCACCATCATGATGTGAACGTGATGCCAATGCAACATTAGCGGATGATGTTTTCTTTTTAGTTGATTTTGAACTTGGAAACTCCCGATAAGAAGTTTCATCAGGTGCTGATGATATACGTTGATGTAAACGATTATTTTGTACCAATTTCTTATCTCGTTGAAGCTCACGTGGTGGATTACTATGTGTATAGGTTTGTCGTGTAGGTTGTGTTGATGCACGTTCACATGCATTCGGACGATCACGCGACATTGATCTTGCCGAATCTTCTACTATAAAAGACAGTTTAGCATCAGTCGAATTTCTTGGTAGTGATTCACGTTTAGGTGGTGTTGGATTAATGGAATGACCGTCTTTTAATGGAATATTAGAACGAATATTATTCGTTTCAATTACTGTTGGTGATCTTTTAACATTTCGTCGTGAAAATGACGTCGAAGTATGATTATTTTGATAAGTAGTTGTAGACATAATACTGCTACTATCTTATTTCGAGTATACCGACATAATAAATATGAAAAACAAGAAAAATATTTTTATTTATTTATTTTTTATTTCATTTTATATGGCTTATGTTGTGAAACACATATAGAGACGTATTGGCAACGATGATGATGATGACGATGATGATGCAGTGTAGCGCAATAAGAAAAAATTTTGCGTTTTTTGTTCTATTCTTTTCTTTTAAGTTTTGAAAATAAATAACAACCAACAGAATTGAGTGAATTTTCATTTTATTTTTAGGCAGTCTCAAGAGTTAGATCGCTCGTCATTGAAATTTTTTGCTTATTTCTTTCGAAAAATTGACGCCTTACATTATTGGTTGGCAGAAGAAACCAGCCGTTCATACATGTAAAACATGTGTTCAATATCTGTTCAGACTTTCAATGACATCTATCGTAGATCTTCCACTTCAAAGTATGGTTTTTGAATAAAAATAAAATCATTATTGATAACTCAACATGTAATAAGTGAAAGATATCGGATAGTTTCTCTCGGGAATGACGCGATCGTTTGAACTTTGGAGGTGTTTAAAGTTATATGCTTCAAGTTAGCGTGTCTGAAAAAGAAAAGCTTCATCATGCGTTCATACTTTGTATTTATTTCTCGTCTTCTCAACTAAACAGAAATTTTTTAAGGTTTCCGAATATTGCTGGGTGTTTCACCCCAGACACTTCTACCGTACGGTCTCTACAGTCATGATGGAGTGTCGATGTGAGACTCTGCTTGATGGAAGCGTTTCATTCGATGCACACCCACACCCACACCCACCCAAAATTACTTACAATTTATGTACTGATAGATTTTTAGCGAACAAAAAAAACAGTTATGATCACCCATATATTTATTAGTTTCGTTCTATATTTTCCAGAATTGTGATATAAATCTCACGTATCCAATATCTTTTTTCGTACTTTTGATAAGGTTTCAATAGGAAATCTATTGCAAATACACAATTATGATTCATTCAATCTGGACAACAACAAGTATATTCAAAATAACTTCGTACTTGATAGACACAGGTTGCACTTCAATATGGCAGCGATGAATTCTATATAGATAAACATATGTTTGAAGAAGATGATAGAAACAATAATGGTAAGTTGAATCAAAACGAATACTCTATTGTAGATGATGAATCTATACTGCATAGCTCGATTAATAAAATAGGACAATCTATTGAGGATGACAAAGATTCAATTAGTAGAAGCGTTTTCGGCAAATAAAGAAAGGCTAAATGGAAAATTATTCACTAGGAAATCAAATTGAATCCTACTTTAACGATTCTGATGGATTTCATTAATATTGTGAAAATAAATTAGATGCGGAAAAAACAAGAAATACGATTTCATGTCATAAAATTGTAGCATGGCGAATCTCATTATAATAGACAAGAATACTAGTGCTCATGCAAACTAAACACGAGGCTACATTTTTAACAAAAGACAAAGACTAAATCAATCATTCTTTATATATAATAAAATCTGTAGTCAATGCAAGTCTATAGAAAAGTTTTTAGAAATGTTCGAATTCGATCTCATCGATTTTACTTTGCTAAATTGTGGTTAAAAAATATATAAGTACGGGCAAAACAAACTGAAGACAATGCGAAAACATTTAAAATATTACATATCTTTGAATATCAAGTAAACGAAATGCATTCTCAATTAAGTGTTATACAAAAGCTATAGAAAATTGAATACTCGTCAAAAGTTTGTAATGTAAAAGTAAAACAAAAGAACAACACTACGCCTTATAGCTCATTAGTCTCTCAAGAGCGCTATGGTTTGCATCCGACAATGCTGTTCGATTTTTATTTTTTTCGAAATACGTAATAGTTGGTTCTAGCTGTATCAACTTCGAAGTTCAAAAAATGGCTTGATGTTGCGCAAGTTTTTCATCGAGTATTTCAGCGACATACCCTTTCATTCGATTGAAATTTTAAAAAATTTCGAATGCAGAATTACTGTTATAAGTAGTTAATGATTGATACCGATGCTCAAGAATGAAATTAAACACAAAAATGTATATTCATGATTGACCTTTTCTATGCCATTATTCATACCTTAAATATAATATTTATCTAGTTTTCATGTGTTAGTGCGATTAGAATCATTTATTATTCTGAGAATTATAAAGTTTGACAGCTATTATGGTTAGACTTATGAATATCTTGCTAAGCTTTGTTTTGTTCAATATTTCATTGCTTCAATGGAAGCCTAATCAATGATAAGAAATGTGTCAACAAGTTCTAAAACATTTCAGCGTTTTTTTTTATTATCTCTGTCATAGATGTCGTTACCTATTTGAATATTTTTTATTGAAAAACATGAATCCATAAAAATTAAAAAAATAACGAATTCCCAACTGAATGAAATTTTTCTGTTTTTTTTTAGTTAAATCTATATTGAAAAATATTTCGATAAACAACAAATGAATCGATTGACTTTTTGCTTTTTTTCTTCTTCCTCTCTCTCTATTCTACTTTTGGCTTGATGAGTCATATAAATCAATAGTTGAATGAATGAATGAAACCCTTTACACGTACGTAATGTAATTTTCTATTTGAACATATGAACATATTTTTTAGAAAATGAGCCATTTTCTACGAATTTTAACAAAAAAATGAGTGGTATTAAACGAAATTATCTTGCTGAAGAATGTTCAGCAACACCAAATGATAATAATTCATCACTAACAGATAATAATATTCAATCATCAAGTCCAAGTGATTCTCCACAATCAAAGAAACTTCGACATTCATCGTCACATCATACAACAGAGTCTGAAAACGATGATGATACTCAAGAAGATCAATACGAACAAGAAAATGGCATCAACAATGGTAAAATATTATAGATTTATTTTATAAATTGAATAGAGAAAACAAATCTTTTTATATTCTTTTCAATTTAGGTCACTCACCAGTGCAATTCGAAAGATCCGAAGAAGAAGAAGATGATGAAGATGAAGATGAAGATGATGACGACGATGAAGCAGCTGAAGCTGAACCAGAATGTTTCTCTGATGACTCAATAGTTCATGTCAGTTTTGATAATGGAAAAGATGATAGTAAATAAATACTCTGACAACGAAATACGTAATTGACTGGAGCGTTTATTTTTGTTTTGTATAGTATTTCGTTATGACGGTTCAATTCGTTTTCATATAATTGCACCATCAAGACCACAATCTGGCCAAATAACTAGTGATCAATCAGTAATACGTACATTTATATGGACTTTATTAGCATTTTCAAAACCAAATTATGATACTTGTCATAATGATGGTGGAACATTTAGTCTTTTTCTTAAATGTGAACCTGACAAAATTTCACCGGGATGGTCGATATTTGCCAAAGCTGAATTAACTCTTTTACATGCAACTGATCCAAACAAAAATTTTGTGAAAAGTAGATAAGATTTTTTTTTTCTTGACTGTTGTTTAATTTTTTTTCGTAATAGAAATCAACCATTTATTTAATGCACGCTCCGTTGATTGGGGTTTTCATCAATTTAAATCATTAAAAGTATATTCTAAAAAGTGATATCTGTTGTTTTTATTTTTCATTGTGGTTATAATTTAGGAAATCTATAGTGAATATATTCATTGGCCAGATAATACAATTCAAATTGAGGCAAAAATTCATGCTGATGCTCCACGTAATGTTGAGTAAGTTAGCGAGTTTTGTACGTTTTTGTTTTGGAGACAATATGAAAATATTGTATTTTAGCTGGGATTCAAAAGGACAAACTGGTTTTGTTGGTTTGAGAAATATTGGTGCAACGTGTTATATGAATTCATTTTTACAAACAATTTATTTTACTAAAAAACTACGGCGGGTTCGTTAAAATTTCTAAAGATTAATGATGAAAATACAACACTATTGAAGGTTGCCTACTTTCATATGATGGCAATAATTTATGATCTGATATTTAGCTGAGTGGTATCTGATAGTTCTAAAATTAAGGATAATTGTCAAAATTTCTTTTTCAATATTTTCAATAACTAGAAACGATTTGGTTCAAAATGTGAAGGCAAACTAATCGTATAGCTGGCAGGAGATATTTTCCATTTTTCTTGTTAACTTTGAGACCAAATTTCTGCGAGAAAATCTTCATATGATTGTTTTTTACTGTCATCCAGTGTTAGATGTACTCATAATATGAAGTCGAACGTTGTTCAACGATTTGATACATTTCACTGTAAGATTATTATGGCTCAATTATTCGCTACAACATATCAACAATATTTCTAAACTAAATATTAATATGCAGAGCTGATACTAGGAATACTTTATTGAATCTAAGAATCGAATCGATCGATTAATTATTAAATTGAGACCTTAAAATAATCATTAATGAGAAAAATAGACGTATTCTTTTTTACGGTGTTGTATTTTTATCATAACAGGCTAATATAACCGCGAGTATCCTGTACTAACCTGGCATGCATATCTTTTATTCAGTATTTCTCAGTGAATATGAATGGAACAAAAAAAAGTGATTTTCTATTATGTGTAGGCTGTATATGCTTTGCCGACGGATAGCGATGATCAACTACATAGTATTCCGCTTGCCTTACAAAAACTATTTTATGATCTTCAATTTACTGATCGACCAGTCAGTACAAAAAAGCTAACACGTTCATTTGGGTATATTTATTGTTGACTTCATTGTCAGATATATATAAATTTTCTTTTGTCGTTCTCTTTTTTGGATGGGACAAGCCAGATGAATTTTGTCAACATGATATACAAGAATTTTGTCGAGTGGTAAGTGAAAATGAAGCATTTGAGATCTATCTCATAACTATTTATTATATTTTTGTTTTGAAACATTGTATAATATTTACTATTTTGTAGTTACTCGATAAATTGGAATCAAAAATGGAAGGTACAACTATGGAAGGTGTTATTCCATCGCTTTTCCAAGGACAATACGTGGTAAATTAAATGTTAATAAGCAGAA